GAAGATCTATGATGAAAGGTATTTGTGAAATTAGTGGTTCTAAAAAGAGTGTTTTTGTTTTTTAAAAAAAAACAAATGTCAAGCAAAAAGAAATAGAAAATATATGTTATGATCCCAAGAAGGTTATTGGGGTATCAGTGAATTAAAATGAAAAACTATACAATTAATAACAGATTTTTTACACGAACAATGTGTTTACCCTAGATCGAAACCATTTATTAGAAGATTTAAAAAAAGAATGCATGTTCAACACATTGATGATCAGTGGCAAGCCGATTTATTATTCATATAACCTTTTAGAGAATATAATAACGGATTGAATTACATTTTAACAGCCATAGATATTTTTAGTAAGTATGCTTGGTGTGTTCCTATTCAATGAGTCCCGCAGTGGACTGATCGTTAAGACACGGCTCCCATCAGATCACCGAAGTCAAGCATCACTGGCTGCGGTCAGTGTGCGGGTGGGAGACCACTTGGATCAGTCTGCGTAGGGACCGAGGGTGTGCGGTATTGATCCTCGTTAAACTGTTCTACCGTAAAGTGCTCGACTTCGCTCGCAGGTCGTCGGGCTACCGAAGCAGGGGTGTCATCCCCTCTGCAGAGGATCAAAATTGTGATGGCATGTCTTCGGATCATCCTCAAGGATGTTTCCCAGACCGTCGCCAATAGCCCATTGTGCAGCTCTAGTGCGACGTAAATGAACTACAACAGCAACAACAACCTATTCAAAGAAAAACAGGTAAGGAAGTAACAAAAGCTTTTTAACTCATTTTTAAAGAAAGAATTCCTAATAAACTTTACGAATTTACGGAATTTACTAATAAAGATACTCAAAAATTATTTAAAGATGATAATATTCTCTGGTTTACAACAGAAAATATAAAATATTCTATTGTTGAAAGATTTAACAGAAGTTTTAATACTAAAATTAGAAAATATGTGGCTGCAAATAATATAAATAAATATTTAGATGACTAGATAAATTTTTTTATAATTATAATCATTTGTATCATAGATCTATTGAAAAGACACCCTTAGAGTCTGGTTACTCAAGTCTAGTTAGAACTTAAAACTAACTACGGTGGCTTTAGCAGGGTGAATAAACACCTCTTTAAAAAAAAAATTTTTTTTTGTCTTTTCCGTTACATTACATATCTTTACATTTTTTGTTTAAAAACGCACCATTTCGCTGGATTAGGCGGGTTACATCAGTTCCATACCTTTTAAGTCATCATTGATTTGTTTCATTTTAGAGGTATTTAGCATTTATACTAATTTAACTTTTCTTACGGAAAGACTTTCTATCAATTCCTCGCTTGTATATAACTCATTGGTTACACTTTTCAATTTTTTCTTTAAATTTCCTCGTTTTTCAAAGGTTTTAATTAAATTATTTTTATAGCAGTCAATTCTCATTCTAATTTAGCAGGAGAACAACTAACTTCTGAAAATATGTCATGCATAATTTTTTTTAATTTCAGGTAAATAGTGACTTTTTTCATAATCTGAAACGGAAAGAGTATAGATATTGAAAGTGTGAAGTTTCTTTTGGCATTCCATTTTAGCCACTGAAGATAATTTACTTAAGATAATTTAAAGATAAATTAAAGCTGCTTGTAAAAGTAGATTGTCATCAGATAAAAACGTCTTACCATTTTGCGGTTAAAATCCCAGGATGCGGTTAGATTTTATCGTGTGGCGAAAAAAACTTCATCTCGCGACTTCATCCCGCGACTTCCATCATCCAAAAACTTCATTCAGTGAAGTAGGATGGAAATTAATTAAGTTATTCAAAAGGAAACGGGAAAAGGAACTCTTTTCAAGGTTGTTTGCGAGTTGTAAAATAATTTTCCGCGTCGTCTTAACGATGTTTGCAAATAATAACACAAGTTTAAAATTTTTTTATTATTATTTAAATAATTGTTATTCAAATAAATGGAAACTGTTTATACAGAAGCATTTAAAAAAATTAAGGCGAACAGCCCTGTGGATAAAAATTATTTATGATTCAGTCGAAGAAAAATATTTTTATGATGCGAAGGGCTTTGTCCAATTTTTAATTCACATCAAGAATTAGTCTTTTCGAAAAGTTAAAGCGGAAATTTAATTTATATTTTACAGTGGAAGCGGATGAAATATTTTTTTAAAATTTTTAGATTTCATGCACTTTAAAAAGAGTTTTAACTATATTTTAGGGAAAAAATACGCGATTATTATAATATTTCTATTATAAAGTTAGACAGTTCTAAAAAGCCTAAACTTTATGATGAAATATGTAATTCTTTTTTGTTTAAATATATTTATCAATAAAAGCTTTACTGTCTTATAGCCGAAAGCTACAGTATTAAAATCCTTTAAAATTTCTCTCTTATCGAATTTAAACCTGTATTTTTTATTCATTTTATTTACTTGAATGCTTCTGTCGCTTTGAATTATAAACTGATTTATTTCCACTTATAAATAATCTGTTTCACCTGTAATTATTTTCATTTTTCATTGAAATTTAATGTTGTTTCACTTTTATAACTCATTTTAAACCTTTTCACTTCACCTTTGACAGTTTTATCATTTAAAATATATGCATTATCTTTTGATGCTCCTGAAATTCATGAAGTTATATATTTTCCTAATTCATCAGTCTAGCATAGAACCTGTAGCAGCTGTCTTACTTCCGTTGTCTATATATACTATACTATCTGTATCATAATACATAACGTATTAAAAAAAACATCCTCGCACATAAATACAAATTATTGTTTAGTATTATCCATTTAAAGACTTGGGAAAAAACAGTGGTGTGTGGAAGAGGGGGGGGGATAAAAAAGGGCACCCTATCGACGATTAAAGACGGTAAAACTTTACTATTATTTATATAATGGAATAAAAATTTTTAACTGATAAACTCTTGACTCACGGAAAATATTTTATGAACGAAAAAAAAAAAGTTTTTTTTTTCATTCTGTTTGCAAAATAAAGTCTTAGGTCACTAAATTTTAAATATTTTTTCTATATAAGAAAAGAAAAGGAATTGCATTTCGTAGGAAATATGAAATTTCTAACCATTGCATAATTTTTGCTCTCATTTAGATAAAAATTAATTTTAAACATGGATTTAAGTTCGCATGGATGTACAGGATAATCTGTAACGACCGTTCTTAATACATATTTCTTGCCAAAAAATGTAGTAAAAAAAGTATGCACATAACAGGACTCATAATAATAAGTAAGCGAAATATATTCGTTAACCGCAACGATATCTAAAATTTTGGGTTTGAAAACACCAAAGGCTGTTCGATAGCCAGAGAAAACAAGATGAGAGTTGAAAGAAAAAACAATTATTAGAAACACCTAATTTAATGAGGAAATTAAACCGGTATTTATGTTTTTCATCCCCAATTCCTCCCTAGTGATTCTATAGAGATTAGTTTCGCTTCTTTTTGACTTGAGTATTAATTTACAAAATGCCTTATTAATAAACTTTTTTCCATCTACATGATTGTGAAGAATTTTAAAATTTTTTATTAAAGGTGGTAATTGAAATCAAATTTTCATTTTTTGTCTCTCCAGTGATTTCTCTTTGTTACAGGGGCATCTGATCGGAATGTTCGCCCCTGGCATCCAATTACCACTGCACGCCACTAGAAAAGAAAGGAACACTAGAATGTCAAGAAGACAACAATTAGCTTTGCTATCATGTTAACTACACTTGGTGAGAAAATGAGAAATTTAACAAATTCTGAATGTTTTGTCATTCTATTAAATTTCTTAAATTATTAAATTTATTTATTTATTATGTTATTAAATTTTAAGTTATTATGTTTAATAAGTTAGTGAATTTATTAATTTAAGTTGTTAAATTAAGTTATTAAATTCATAAATTGTTTTTTAAAATTATTATTTTTTTTTAATGCACATCTTTTAGTAAAATACTTATTTTTAATTTATGCTATTGCATAAATATTTTAGACCTTTTTATCAGCTAACATTTTCCTTTTAATATTTACGAATTATTTTTCAATAAAGAAAATATTTTAAAACAAGTAATTAAAACCTATCTAATGTATTATAAATATTAATTAAATCTTTAACTTTCAAGAAACGTCTCCAAATTCATAATTTGAAAGTTTTCTTTCAACAAACAGACTTGTACCACTTCTAAAATTAATAAGAAAAATTTTCCATCAGACCGGCAGAGTTAATATCATCATTGTTGTAAAAAAAAAGCTGTATGCAAATCCCGTCTCCGAGAAACAGAACCACTAGCGACATCTAGAATATTTCACGACATACTTACTCTCTTGTGAACAAAATTATAAATGTAAATTTTTTCATCATTCTTATTAAATACATTTCCGATTGAGAATTTTTTGATACAACTGATTTAATGATTTTTTTTTATCGCGTCTAAATAAAACAAAAGTTTATTTTAACAGCAATTTAAGATGTTTTGTCCTATATACTTTTAAATTATGCTTAAGAAAATGCAAAAATTATTTTTATTAACTTACACGTTCATAGTTATTTTTATTCCTACAGTGTAAAGAAAAGCAAATAATATTTTCTTTTGTTAAGTATGCCTTTTCAAGCTATTAATCCGTTCTAAAATCCAGTTAACTCTTTAAGGCAGGATGGTATACTGAAGTATATAATAGTAAAATCACAGCCCAGCCAATTTTCTTCTTTTTTCGAAAAAATTTCTTCTAGTGGTAGCTAAGTTTATGTTTTGGTGTATGAATTTTAGTTTTCAAATTTGATTTAAAGTTATTTCCTTCACCACTTTATGTAAATGATTTTAAAGTTCATATGAAACGCCACATTGTTCCAACTCTGTAGTGGTGAAGTTTTGAAAATGTTTGCAAAAATACCAAATGTTCTTAGAGCTCAAGTTTATATTTGTCTACCACTCAGTAAACTTTTTTCCAAAAAGCTTAGTAGTTAGCATCTGAAAATGATGTGTTCAAAATGTTTTAAATTATACAGAATGACTTAGCAAAGCATATTTTTAAAAGTATTTTTTTTATTGACAAATATATTGGCAACATAATATATACAGGAAATTTTCGTTTTTGAAACAAAAATCTCTCTGAATATTTACAACATTTTGTTAAACAAGATAATATCTCAACGTCGCCATTAATTTCATCGGTATTCTACTCAAAACAGAGTCAGTAAATGATTATGCATTTGTTCAGTTTTCAGCATTTAGAAAATTTATTACTGCATCTTTGTATTCAGGATGTATACTCACAAGATGGTTAGCTTTCTCGACTTTAAAAAATTTTGTTTTGGGGAACAGCTTTAAAATGTCGTCTTTAACATCTCCTCTGAAATAAAAAAATAAAGTTATTTATTGTTATTATTTGTTGAATCAGATATTTATTATTTTTTTCAGTATTTGTTATTATAATTTATTATTATAATTTGCATGTCGGCGTATAATGTAAAATTTAAGTATCATATTTCTTAAAAAATGTTGTCAAATTAACTCACGCATTAATTAATTTTTTATGACTTCTCAGATTAATTCGATTTATCTCAGGTTTGTATCTATTGAAATAAATTATTGTTGCGAGAAATATCGGGCATAGTAGTAATCGTCAGTATGATTTGTTTCATGTCATTTTTATTTGGCATACCAAGTTTTGTTTAGAGCTTTTGCGTTCTATGGACGAAATGTTTTTCCATTTGTATAAAAAATAACAAACTTAACTACTTATACAATAAAGATTTCGTTGAACAAAAGGGAAAAAAATATAAACTTACACTTTAAAAGGTGATTTTCCACCATATATAAACAGGGCTGGTTTTTCAAATTTCCCTCTACTCTCTGGCATATACTTGTCCAGATCTTTTTTGGCTATATCCAGAAGATCAACATTTGCTTTCCACCTGCATTTGCCATTTGAACATTTTATGGGTACATGATCAACGATTCTCTCATCGATATCAATTTTTTCATTAACCTAAAAATTAAGTTAAAAGTTGTTACCTGCAATGCTGTTGACAATTTTAAAAACAACGTATTACAGAACAACTACTAATGACCTATTGAACTGTATTGAACAGTATATAAAATAAAATAATTGTAGAACATATATTTAAATACTCATGATATCTCTACGACTGAACCGCATAAGACGACATTTTCTAGTATTGCTTGAAAAAGTTGCAAAATACTATTAACCTCGATATGGTTTCACAAGTTCATTCATAGCAACTCATGATAGCTCAAGGAAGTCAGTAGGCAATATATTTGTGACTTCGGTTAAAACAAAGTAAACACCAATTGCTAATAAGGCTAAATAATTTTGAGACAGTGTTAAATATTATCTATAACAATTTATATGCAATTAAGTTCTCACTAATAACTATAATTGGTTTACAAAATACTATTAGTCTCAAAATGGTTTCTATGCTTGGACCTCATGCCTATTCATAGCAACTTATGCTAGCTCAATGGCGCCAGTAGAAAACACAATCGTGACTTCGGTTAAAACAAATTAAACACCTATTGATAACATGGCTAAATAAGTTTGGCTTAGTGTTAAATATTATTAATAACAATTAATCTGTGCAATAAACTTAATATTATATTTTATTACATTTAGTATGATTAAAGTTAATATGCTTAAGGGTTGACAAATAATATAATTTTTAACAATTAATATTCAATATACCTATTTATAGCACCTTATACTGGCTCAATGATGCCAGTAGGCGATATATCCGTGCCTTCGGCTGAAGCAAAGTAAATAACTATTCATAAAATGGCTAAATAAGTTTGACGCAGTGTTAAATATTATAAATTATAATTTATGCATAGCAAACTTCTAAGTGATATCCGTAGTTAGTTATATAGAAATATTCAAAAAAAAAATCTTATCTTCTCGTACCGCTATTTTCTTAGAATGAAGATTAACTCTCAACAGTGTACAATCAATAGTACCAATCCTTATTTAGTATACCTAACAGTCAAATGTCAGAGTCTGCTGTCAATTTTTATAAAATAATGAGAGCGGACCAACGAAAGTAAATGGCCAAGTTATGAAACGTTTACTCTACATAATTATGCAACTTATATCTCTCATCAAAACACTAATTAAAAAATTATACATTGTGAAAAAAAAGGTTAAATTCATACAGTCGAGCTTTGATTGAAATCAACTCTCAATATTTTCGTCAATATTAATTCAATAGTGAATGTAAAAAAAACAACTTTTTATTTTCTGCACTGGTGATCATATTTTAATAACGAGTAAATAATATATATGAATTAGTTAGAAAAAATTTAGTTCATTGACTTACCAATTCTAACATAAATTTGACGAATTTAAAAACAATAAATTTAGCTTCTTTTTCAGTTACTCCTTTAGGAATAACGCCCAAAGCATCCTTATATGGATCAACAGCTCCAACCATTACCTTCCGAGCTTCATCACTTAAACCATTGGGTCTCATATCTTCGACAATTAGTCTTTCCACTTTTTCGGGCTACAAATGAAATAAATTTTTTTATAGAATGCAGGTTAAATCATGAAATGAGGGATTTAAAGCGAGATGACAAACAAAAAATACAATTATTATTAAAATAGTCGATGTCGTTATAAACTACGTCCGCTATGAAAAAACAGTCTCTGAAGCATGTAGTGGATTTTGTTGTTTCTTCAGTGCTGCTTACAAGAAGTATAATAAAAAACCTTTAATCACAATTTTTTTATAAGTTACAATCTGTTTTTTCAACTATATTTCAATCTAAAAACGTATTCCGGAGAATATCTCTGTATTGATTAACTGCCTATTAAGCACGATATTGTTTGTGGTGATCCATCTGAAATGGATAATTATGTTACTTGGCCAACAGAAAAATACATAAAACTTTTAAGCGTCTTTTTATGAGGGAAACGGTTGAGACAGTTGAACAGTTGGACAATGGTCAAAAAGTGACCTTAGTTTCTGGTGTCAAAAATATTATAAAAATAATAAACAAATCCTTAAAGTGTTATAGCCACTGCTACATATAAAATTAGGTTAAATAAAGCAATTTGTCAGATTTTTTTAAACTAAAAATACATGCTTGCTCCATGTTGCTTTGTGTTCAATTTATGTGTAAATTTAAAACAAACTGAAAAATATTGTTTTAAATTCTTTTTCTTCAAATTTTGTTTATTTTTTTTGTAGGCCAAGATAGCAGAAATAATGGAGGAAATAAAGGAGGGAAATTTCGACACTAAAATTGGACTAAATCAAAAATAAAAACTGAGTTATTAATTCTTCTTTCAAGACTGTTATTACTTTTTTATAAAACAAAAAGGATTAAAATTACAAATATCCTGTAGAAGAAATAGAAAAAAAGAAACTCTTGATTTTAGGCTGTAGTATGAGTTTAAAAGTTCATTTTCTTTATTCACGCATCTAACCTATCAAAATGTAGGTGTATTTAGAGAGAAACAGGGGGGAAAAGATATCACAGAGATATAATGAAATAGAAAGACAATATCAATGAAAATGGAATATCATCAAGGTTATTGCAGAATGTTACAAAGATGAAATTTCTGCACAACTTTGGATGTTGTTGAAGAAACAATAATAAACTTAAGAAATTTGACCTCTTACATACCTTCAAAAATTACTTGAATGCAATTCATATATGGATCCAAATTGAATAAAGACAAAATTTTGTGAGTTTGTTAGTTACCTTCGAAATGTTCAATAACTGTGACAACTCCTGTTACAAAAGGTTTAAGAAAGAGAAAGAGTAAGTTTAAAGTGATAGAAAAGAAAGAATTAAATTTTTAGAATAATCACTAAAATTAATATGAAAATCAGTCCTCAAAATTAAAACAAATTTCAAAACTATCTCCTGCAGGACGGTGTTATTTATTAAAATAGGATTTTATAACCCCCAAAAACAGTTCAGTAAGCGAGGCTAATATCTACAGAATAAAAAAAAAATTATTTAAGAAAATGAAGTGAAAATGTAATAGTATATCTAAAGAGAAAATTATATTTAACTATTTAAGATCCTAAGTCAAACTGTTGATGTATACTGAGTAATCTCTGATGAGAGCTGCTTAAATGTTTTGAATTTTTGTAAAAAAATGAAGTAAAATTATTGCAGTAATCGCATGTTATTTTTTAAAAAGAGAAAAGTTATAAAAAAAAGGAAAAGTGTACACTGTTAAAATTTTAATTCTAAAATTATGGTAAAATAACTGGCAGCTGTCTGTCCATCCAATTAACCGTAAGGTTCACGGTAAAGAATATTTTTTTACTTTATGGTTTAGAAGCCATTTGCAAAAAGTATGGTTATAAAACCATGAATACAAAACTATACGGTTTTTTAACCATTTACAACTAGCAATTTTCAAAAGCGTAAAAAAAAAATTATTATTTAACTAGACATAGGAGCTTGGCTTTTCGCATTGGAGAAAGCCGGACTCTGAAAATTCATCATGTGTTGAAGGGAAAGGAGAATAAATTGTAGCGTCAACACCAGGATTCGAACTCCAGTTCTGTCGGTCATGAGATTGACAGATAAGCCCGCTCGGCTATGATATGTACGCAGTTGCAAAGAACTAAGTACCTCCATTAGGTGGTTCTAGTTGGTGCGATAAAATTCTGGTTGTTCAACCGTATTAGGTGAAAACAGTTAATAAACAATTTTCCTCAAACTTAACAGTTTGATTACCATTTTATTTATGGTAATTTGACTGTTTTGATTAAATATGGTAAAATAACCATTCAATAAATTGTTATTTAACCTTTTTTCCGAGAAATTTCTAACAGTGTATGAAATGGTGAATCATACTTCAACAAGAAGGAAATAGGGATTAAAATAATCCAATGCTTGTTAATTTTAGGTCAAAGCTGAAAAGAAAACATGAACTCATTTTAATTTCACTTGAAAATCAGGCAACAGTTTGATATTTTATTCCCTCTTTTGCTACGATTGAACAAAATTCGTCTGAATTTGATAGAAATTTTTTAGACTAAAAATGATATGCGGCCCTAAAAAACAGTGAATTTATATTTAATAAAAATTCTAAAAATGTTTATTAAATTTGCGCATTACTGAACACCTGTATTCTAAGTGCGAGACACAACTAATTAGAAAATTCTATTTTCTATGTTGTGTAAGTATTAAAAAGAATTGTTCCATACATTTGTAAGAGTAAAGTCTACAGCAATTTTTCCTCCCAAGCTGTGTCCAAGTAATGCTATTTTTTCAGTGTTCAACGTTTTCATGAGAAGATTCAAATCAGATGCCATGACGGACGTGTCACTATCATTACTCCATGGGCTATCACCATGATTGCGTAAATCAGCAGCACAAATCTGTAAAAGAATAAATTATTTCCGTCATAAATTCGAAACATATTAGTTGATTTAGTTGCACGAACAGTGTTTTTAGTAAAAAAAATAGAAATGTTAAAATTTAGAATCTAAATTGATCTGAAGAAGATTTGCCTCTTTCTGAGGATCAGAAAATACAGCTCATCTTTGTGGTTTCTCTTTTATTAAAAATTAACTTAAATAGTTTTTGATTTGGAAAATTAAAATATTGTCATGTCATTAGAAAGAAACATCAACCTTAAAAAGTAAATATCTACAAAGGAAATGTTGTCCTCAAATGAGCTAATTAATTAGTGCAGACGATATTTTTAAGTTACGATTTCGGAACACAAAAACGTACTTTCTCTGAATAAACATAAATTTTTTGTCGACGAATTTAGATTTCTAACCCTTAAAATAGAAGAGGTAGCTGTAATCTGTGAAACTTGGTGCCTAAACCAAACTATATCTGGGAAATAGTTTGGTCAAGAGAGCTGTCCAAAATTTAGACCCCTTATAATTAATTTTACTTTTTACGCATAACGCCAAATCTCGGGATTTTTTAAGCGAAATTAAACATTTTTGCACACAGTTATAAAATTATTTATCCTAAGACAATTCTATGCATAACATAGTTTTTAACATTTATTTATCATTATTTTTAAATAATTTTATTTAATAATAGTTGAATAAAAGGTATACAAAATTTTACACCTTTTCCAAGAATGTAATTTCATAAAACAAAATTCGAAATTTAAACGATATTGGTCGAAGTTCCTGAGGAATCAAATTTCAAATACTATACGAATTCTTTAAAAATTGATTTCTTAGGAACTATTTATTTTGTATTTTGTTACAGAAAATTACATTTTATAAAATATTACAAAAAATTTGTTTACCTTAGAATTCAGAATTTTTCGACTATTATTAAATAAAGTAATAAAAATGATATATAATAATAATACAAAATAATAAATGATTATTAAAAATTATTCTTGCATGGAATTGTCTTTGCAAATTTTATATTTGTGTGCAAAAATTTCTCTTCTTAAGAAATTCTCAAGAAACGACAAAATATGCAAAAAGTAAAGTCAACATGAATATTGAATGTAGTGGTCCAAATTTTCTACCGTTCTCTTGACCAAACTATTCGGATCATATATCCCAGATTGTGGCTACCCCAAATATTTTGGGAGTAAAGAATCCGAGCCCATCGAATAAAAATGTGTGTTAATTCCAAGAAAATAAGTTTTTCTGTGTGAATTCATATCTTAAAATATAGTCTGTATTAATTAATTAGCATATTTGTGGTCACTCACTTGAACCATTAAGATCAACTGATTAACTGAACTGATTTTTTTCACGCACTGAACATATTTCTATAATTTATATCAAAAATGAAGTTAAAAGTGGTTTCAATTAAAGTGTCACAAATTAACATTAAAATTAGGTAATGAAACAAAATGAAAAACGTTATCAGACTATACTCAATCAATATCGAGGTCCAGTTAATGCAAACATGGGATTAAAGTCAACAAAAATAAGTTTATTTCTAAGGTGGGACAGGAATCTTGTCTTTCGTTAGGAACTGTAACAGCTGTAAAATAAATTATTTCTTGAGTCTTTCTTTTTCTTTGCGTTGATCATCTTCGGTATTAATTACTTAGATGTTAATTTGTGAATTCCAGAATTAATATTTCATGACTTCTTTTCTTATTTAAAATTTATCAAGATATATTAAGAGTGTTTTTAGATTCCATCACATGTATATTAAGAGCGGTCATAATGAAACATCTTGCTCACTCTTTTAACAAGTCACACAAGTTTAGCTTAGTATTCCTTTATATTATAGAAACTCTATTGGGGAATATAATCTTTTAAGCAGGTTCTTAGTTGAACACCAATTTTCCCGATCGCTAATTAATCAATCACTTTGAGGACAGAAAAAAATGCGAGTAAATGGGTAATTATTGAATTTTAATGCAAAGCGTCAGCTAGTTTTAAGCGTTGAGAAGTTTTTAAAAGACCTGAACAATAGTAGAAAATAGTGTCAATATGAAAACAAATTACTTTTGATATCAATACGTAATACGTAATTAGCAAACATTTTAAAATTTTCATTTTATTTAACAAGTATTTTAATTTTTTTCTTAATGGAATAGGTTTTCTCCATCAATTAACTCAAAAATTCAACTATCCAGTCACTTTATTTTAAATAAATATCACTAGATACACTACATAAAAAATGTTCTGTTGCAAATATATCTCACGAAATTATAACTAAAGTTGCACTGCCTTATATATCAAGAAAGGTAGTAAATAGACTTCAACACATTTCATTAAAATCTATAAAAAATAATTTAAGTAAGACAGTTTTTAGTAATATATTTTATGTAATTGCCAAATTTGAAAAATAAATTGTCCTAAATTGAATATTAATTGAATAACTGAATCGAAAAATGCTTACTCTTCTACCAGTTTTCATGGCTAAAATTGGCATCATACCAAGCCACATTTCCTTGAATGCAAGTACACCATGCAGCAAAAGAACTGGAGGCTTGGCATCATTTGTTCCATTGGGCGAATGTATGCAAATATGAGCAAGTTTTACTTGTTCCTTTGCACTAAGGGAAGATAAAGTGTACTTTAGGATATAATGAGATTTAAACTATTTTTGTGCATTGAATATTTAGAATACAAGTTATGAATTAAATACATTTTCTAGCATCACCTCAGTTTGTCATCTTGAGAACATATTGTCGTAAACTATATATATATGATTTAGACAAATTTCTTTTAAGAATTTAAAGAAATTAAAAAAAGTCAGAAAACAAGATAACGAAACGATACAATATCTTCCACAGTTCACACAATTATATCCGCCAATTGCAGTGCTTTCTAGTATCGTTTTAACATAGCCAAAGTGAAATATTGTATTAATATAGCCATAGGGGCACAAAATTAACCACAAAATAATTATGCACGCTAATTTCCAGCCACAAAAGTCCCACGAACTGGTAAGGATAAGATCTGTGGTCTTTTTCAAACAAATCAGACAAATCTAGCATGTGTGTGCGAGAAGGCCAATTGCTGCAGATTGCAAATGACAATTGCAAACTACGATCGAGACAACAACTCTGTCGGTGTTCTGGGTTAAAGTCATAGCGGAATACCCTGAGGTTATCAGCACAGAACTAAATTTCCATTGTAATTTTCGACAACCTATCTCAGTAAAGCGGGATCTTCTGCAGTGACAGCAATTAAATCAGAAAAATTGAATAAACTGGAATATAGCAGCACATTGCAGGTGTCAACGTCTTCTCCCAGATGGAACCATCTAGTTTCACAGAAATAAGCTCAGGCACAATGCAACACGCTAGGTATATTGAGCTCAATAACATGGAGCGAGGAGCAACAAAAAATTGACATGAAAATAAAGCATATCAAGCAACAAAAAAAAAAGGCAAAAATATAAGAAAATACAAAATAAAAAATATTCAAGAAACAAAAATTCAACTTATAAAGCAAGTAGAGAGATCAGACGTCTATTTACTTACTGACATCTTGAAAAATTGATTTAAAAATTTTTTTCGCAACTAGTTTGCCAGATTACAAATATGAAATTAAAACATAAATAGATAATGCATTATATGGCGCATTCTTGCTGAAATTCAGAACCGCAATTGATTTGTCTGTTACATAGGATTAGCTCAGAACTGGATTTGCGCAAGGTAATTAGATATTATACAGGGTAATTTAAAGTTTGCAATTAATGAAATTTCAAATTTCAATTATAACTTTCATTTTGTTGATTTTTAGGGAAATTATTATAATTTATTGGAAAAATCCTTGATTAAATATTAGAATTTTTTTGCCGCAGATTTTCCCTAATTTTATTTGAGCATGGTAAAAATATCAGTTTAGATAAAAAAAATATTGGGTAAACAAATTCATTAATAATTTTAACTAATAATTAACTCAGTGATTTTATATCGAATTTAATTATATCATTTGCTTTTAATTAAACATTTAAACGAGTTTTTTTATTTGTATACATGAATATTGCTACAAATTCCTTTATTTCCAATTATTTAATTAAAACTATTTAAATCAATGTTTTAGAAACATTAGAATTACATGTAATTAGATTATTTATGTAAAATTTAAAATAATTCCCTTTATCGTATAAACCAACATTGCAAATATTTTCTTCATTTTTAATACTTAAATCCAAAAAATTTAATTCTGCACTGTTAAAATTTCCATTCTAAAATTATGGTAAAATAACTAGCAGCTATCTGTCCATCTGATTAACAGTGAAGTTTAAGGTAAAGAACATTTTTTCCATTATTGTTTAGAAACAATTAACAAAAGGTATGGTTATAAAACCACGAATACAAAACTATACGGTTTTTTAACCATTTACTACTAGCATTTTTCAAAAACGTAAAAAAGGTATGCTATAGATTTAAAGATATTTATAAAAATTTATAAAGATTTAAAGATAGATTTAAAGATATGCTATAGATTTAAAGATATGTATCTGCGGCACATGACAAAAGTACTTTATAGTTTTTGTATCTAAATCAATTACAGACATACGGACAACTGTCTGTGATTGGCTAAGAGCGAAAATCTACCGTCAGGAGAGGAAACAAAATATTATTCGAAGTGTTAACATGGAGTCAATATGCAAACAAACTGAAAATAAAATTTAATTTTTGCATTTAAAGAGATAAATTAATCAGTATACTACGCAGTTAATCAGTATATTATGCATGTTTCTATATAGTTTGGTTAAACTGAAAGATCATGAACAAATCCTTATAAAATTGTTCAATATCATTAGGTAATGCAAAAATAACCAAATTAAAATTAAACAGTTCTTACTTTGGAGCTCCAGTTGGAAAACAATAACTTATCCCTAAAAGCAGTGTTAGGCTTAGAACAATTTGAACAAACTTCATTTTGGTCTATAAAAAACATAAAATGTCAATAAAAGAAACTCTATTTATTTTAAGACATGTGTTGATATAATATGGATATAAATAAATGCCAGAAAAATTTTGTTTTGAAATTTTTTCTTGTTTTACTTTTTTCTCAGTCATACGTATTTATCCATATTTTTGTAATAATAATGATCATTCTCACCATAAAAATTTAAAACCATAAAAAATTATCACCATAAAAATTCTCACGTAAAAATTTAACTCTTCTCAAATCAATTGTATAATTTGTAAAGTTATTTTTAACTCTTCGCTATTTTTGCCAGAATTTCGGCAGTTTAATATGTCTTTAGTCTTTATTTCTATTCCTAAAAAGCAGATTTACCCAAATTTATGAAAATTTAGAAAATATTTTTTTGAAAAGAAATTCCCGTGCTGAAAATTGCAAAAGACTAAGCTACCTTGATTTCTTCAATAATAAATGTAGTGCTAAAGGATTATTGATTTGACCTGAACATTCTAAAAAGAGAAAAATTTAACATTTTTTAAGAAATTTTCTTTTCGTAATCGTAGAGAAAAATCCGGTATCGAAAAGAAAAATTCTATAATTTTAACAGCTGCCTTACAACGGCGAAGAATTTGACAAAAACTTACCCCTAGAAGTTGATCTTTGAAAAAATTTGTCCTTATATTTTCTATTTAGCTTCCGTGAATGCTATACCAATCAAGATATTGAATGAATCTTAGCCAATTTTGATTCTAAAAATTGCCTTGACGATGAACCAATGAAGACACATTTTTTGCATCAAGTACACATCGTTTGCTTTTAATTTCCCACTAAATTTAGAAAGCGTCCATCTCGTATGTTTTGCAGCAATATTAATATCAATACAGAACTTCAATTTGATTCGTTCAACGGAAGAAAACAAAACTTTCGGTGGTTTTAAGTAAGTTCTTTAAGGATGACGACAGAATTTTATATCTAAACTATGACATTTTATGAGGCGTAAAAGATAGCAATTAACTATGATGCTCAACACCTGCACGTGAAATTTTAAACAGAATGTCAGCGAAAAAACCTTCAAAGCAAACGTCAGAATTTTAATACAAACTCTGAGGAATATCAAGAAAATTAAAAATAAATATATATTTTTCAGTTATAATATAACTCTGGAATTGTAATCGCTTTTCTTTATATATTTAATATTAGCTTTTCATTTCGTTCATTGTTTTCAAACTGAAATTTAGAATCAAACTAAAAAGAAAAACAAATTAAAAATTTTTTTAAGGAAAGTGTTACATTTTTTAAAATTATTTTTGACAGTACATGGCAGTTTCTACGGTGCAGTATTAAATTCGCTATTTTTGTATTCAGGTTTACATTATTTTAGAAAAAAGTACTATTGAGAGTTTCTAAACTATGATGAATCCTAAATATGGTTTCTACATCTCCTACTATTAGTAAAAAATGATTACGTCTTAAAAATTACAAACTTTTATCACATACTATAAAACAATATTTATTGATAATTTTCCCAAAATCTTTACCAAAGCACTATTAAGAAAATTACCAAACTTTTTGATGTTTCCACAGAGCCAGAAATGCGGTAAAATTGACAATATTCTGGTAGTTTTGACTATACTTTTCTTCTCAGTGCACAACGCATATGATAAAAGGTCAAAAATACATAATTTTAAAAATTTCACCCTAGAACATTTTAGATCAATCAGTTCATGCGTAGTCTATTCCTTAATTAGAGTTCAGTCTATTAATATATTGATAATGTAATCCAATGTAGTATCCGATGTAACATCAAAACTTGTATGTAATTTTAAACTACTGAAATATATTGACTTGTAAATTTTCACATAAGATTTTATTTTAATTTACGAGAAAATCCGTTTTGAAATGTAAAGTTAAGCAGGCATGGTGGTTTAATGGTAGGTGATTTTTAAATCATTGTAACTACTGCTCAAATTAAGACCGAAACCAAATTTGCTTTTTAGAGATGAAAATGAATGCTTTTTTTATTAAAATATCTGAAATTCGATGATGTAAGCGAAATTTACTTAAAAAGGTATCGATTATCCTAAAAACCAATAAACAATATTCTCCGAATAACAATGCTATTAGGTGTCAAAGATAATATCAAAGCAATTAGAAAACTATTAAAATCAACGTAAAAAACAATTGGGTAAATGCTATAAAAACGCTGTTAAAATGTTACAGTTCTAACTTAAAGAATAATTTAAAAAATTATATTTGAAATGAGTATTAGTACATATTTTGATATGTTAGTTAAATATTTTAAATGTACAATAGAAAGAAATATTTATTGCAATTGACTTAAAATTAAATTACATGTATATTTTAAAAAAAATAATCGAAAATCAAAATATGATTAACTTCATTAGGTTTTCCTTATAATAGACTAAGTCGTTTCTTACCCAATGTAGATGCTGTTGAATATAAAAATTAAAACTTTTCGAGTCTTTTTAAAGAACAATAAAAATAGTACACACTTCCTTCTAGATAGCTTGTTATCAATTGACAACTTCTTAAACAATCAATAATATATTTATCGAAGAAGTGAAACAATATATTCCAATTGTTTTAATATTTACTTAAATTGCGGATGCGGATTACTATTATAAAAAAAAGTTCCTTTTTGATAGATATATGATTTAACAGATTTGATAATTTTTAAGTCAGAAAAAAATGTTTACAGAAAAAAACAATACAGTGATAATTCTTACACAGTTTGTGAGAAATACACGTATTTCTATTAAAAAAAAATTTGGGGGGACAAAAAATGAAAATAATTGGTTCAAGATACAACATGTTATTGTACCTTGAAATACCATACATTGTACTTTGGTCCATAGGATTAACAGTGTTTAACAGTGTTTTGCTTCCTTATTGTGAGGTGGCGACTGTTGAATTATAGCATCTTTGGTTTGCTATTCTTACTGTTTGTCATACTGATAAAGGTGTACCAATAGGACATTGAAATTCATTTATACTGTAAAAAATCCCGGATCAAATTAAGGTGAAAAATGCCGGCACTCAGGTACTTTTTATTGTAAAATTCATTATTCATTAATAAAAGGGGATAATGTAAATTATAATAGAAATATTAGGGAGATTAATAATAAAAGTGAAAAAATAAAAGCATATTTTCCTAATTAACTTTTATAAAAGTATTTTTTTAATACATTTTTTTTAATTCTAGTAGCATAACCCTCGAAACAAGTAGTTGCCTCTAGATCAAAATTTTGGTTAATGTATANAAATATTAGGGAGATTAATAATAAAAGTGAAAAAATAAAAGCATATTTTCCTAATTAATTCTTATAAAAGTATTTTTTTAAATATTTTTTTAATATATTTTTTTTAAATTCTAGTAGCATAACCTTCGAAACAAATAGTTGCCTCTAGATCAAAATTTTGGCTTTATGTATAATTTAGACATAATAATTTCTTTATTTCATTAACTAGCCATAACTCATTCATGACATATATATATATATATATATATCATTACTTTGTTCACGTGTACAGTAAAATAGTGTTTATGGTAATTATTGAAGTAATTTTTTCGGTACTAATCTTTAAATCTTATTAAGTAAACTTGAAAAAGCGAAAAATAGAAAAGATGTGATATAAAAATGATATCTCAGGCTCTTTCAGAGCTTTAAATTGCGATACAATATTTTATTAAAAAAAATTTAATTGTTATATCACAAAAACTATTCAAATGGTCAAACTTTTCCTCCATAACCGGTGTTGAACATCCGACACAATTCTGATTTTACGGCTATCAATGTTCAACTCTGCAGCTTTGTTAATTTGAAGTCAAGGAAATTCCTGGACCAAGCATTGTGACAAACTAGTCTCAGTAGAGGACTAGCCTTTTGTTGGAATTAACAAGTATTTGCGTTCCATGGAGAGGTAGACCACGAAAGTGTCCCGCAGTTAGCCGTCCGCAAGGGGATCTCTAGCTCTGAGAATATTTTACGTCAGCACTGTGACCGGCCCAAGCTGGGAACAGAATTCGTGTCAACCAGCAAATGCTGGGATTTGAATCCGAGTCACATCATTCTGAGGTGTATCCTCTATACCCTTAGCCATTTCGGCTCAAATGGTCAAACTTAGAAAAAAAACAATTTTACAGACTTTTGACTGTTATAATGAATAAACTTAAGGGGCCAATATTTTAAAGTCATAATTTGCGGTCCCCCATCTAGAATTCGAATAGATAAAAACGGCTCTTATTTCGAGAACGCGCTTCGGGTCAGAATTAAAAAAAATAATAATGCTTTTATAGGATATTCAACCATCTCACGAGAAGAAATCCTTAATAATAACAAATTCATTAAATAATGAATTGAAAATTGTGGCTTTTGAAGAATCACTCACGTATATTTTAAAGTCATATTTTGCGGCCTCCTATCGAGAATTTGAATAGATTAAAAAAATTCATTTATCTAGAGAAAGCCACGCTCGGGTCAGAATTAAAAAAAAATAATAATACTTTTAGAGGATATTCAACCATTTCACGGGAAAGAATCCTCAATAACAACAAGTTTATAAGATAATATATTGAGGCTTGTGTCTTTTGAAGAATCACTCACGTGGAACTTTTTTTTGTAAGTTCTATATTATGATTTAAATTCTACCCACGTTTTTTTTCTATTGAAAAATGTTTTCTAGTACACTTTTTCTTTTTGCAATTATTTTTTTTAAAATCAAATATTGTTTTTATAAATTAAATATACTAATCAATAATTTATCTGTAATAAAGATAAATTTTATACGTAACTTAACTAACTAATTATTATCTGATTATTTTACAGAATTTGTTAATTCAGATGTTTCCGATTTTATGTGATCTTTGATATTGCAATTTAAACAATTAACTTTATCTTTTTTTTCTCGAATTTTTCCTCAATTGAGTAAACGAATCTTTTGTTTCAAAGTGAAAATGATGATAAGAAACTTTAACACAAAACATTAAACCTACATTTTCAGAATCAAAATTCAATTCTTGTTAATGGGTCATTCTACAAAAGAACAATAGCTTCTTCCATTTAAGCTTAGATATATTTTTTCAAAGTTTAATGGTTATTGTATAATAAATGTTTAATCAAGAAAATGCTTATTGTACTTATCATCATTAAAAATTTGAAACTTGGGCTACTTTGTGTCTATAGATATTTTTCTATCGTTAGAGTTTTTATTGTTTTTTTTAAATTTTATGAAAATATTTTAAACGGTGTCATGTCTAATCATCCTTTTCATATAATAAAAAAATCTTTCCTATAAAATGCATAATTATATTTCACTTAACTTATGGTATATAACTTTTTGTAGAGGATATTTTACTGCATTAGAGTAATAGTAAAAGCACAGAGAAAAAATATGATGAAAACTGTTATAATATGGTAAAATTTGTCACGATTTTGGCTCTATGAGAACACCAAAAGGTTCGATAGTTTTTGCCGAAGTGCTTGGGTAATGACTTTGGAAAAATTTACAATAAAATATGGTATTTTAATAAACAATAAAATTTTGTAAATGTGGTAATATTTAGTAATTTTATGATGATACCTTAGAGTATGGCATGAAATCCATGTACTTATCAGTTTTGAATTTTATACTAAATGGATGGTAACTATAATTGTATAAAGATTGTTGAAACATTAATTGTAAAACAAATTGAAAAATGCAACTACTTGAGTACACTTATTTTAAAATCATACTAAGAAAGAAACAATGTGAACAATTAAACTCAAAAATTAAGGTACAAAAAGGGGCCATAATTAGGAAATTTTTTAATGCATTATATAAATGAATCCAGCAGTGCTTAATTAAAGAATTAGCGAATAAATGAATAAAAAGACTTAATTATAAAATAATAATGCAAAATAAGTAACAAAAAACTGTTAATCAATTGAAATCCGAGTAAAATAAATAAAATAGATTTAAAATTAGTTGAATGATACTATGTATAAGGTACTGTTACAAAACCATGCAACATTCCTTTTTTTCATGCAGAATAGAAATAGTTCTTGAAAATGGACACTTTAAACCATTTTTTACCCATTTTTATACATGGATAATCCCGTTGAAACTAATGTGAACGATAGTAGAACAGAAAGAGTAAAATGATAAAAAATTCTCGACAATCTTGAAACTGATGACGTCTTATTTAATTGTTAATGAGTTTCATGGTTCATTTGATACTCACTTTTTTCCCTTCACTTTTCAAATTTCATTTCTATTATAATTTGATAATAATATCTACATTCTCATGATCAAACCATTGAATATGCATGGTTAGCAGCAATGCAAGGAAGTTGATCTATAAGGAAGTTAAATTGCTTCCTTTATTGGTGATTCGAGGATCAATGCTACATATTCATTTCACTTCTGAATGACTTTGGGATATACAGTTTTTCAAAATGTTATTGTGGTTTCTGGTTTTTCAACTAGTTCTTGTGGGTTCATATGGTACGTTAACAGTTTCTTATTTGCATGTTTGCCTCGTTAAGTAGCATTAATTATGAAACTTAAATAAAGTAATAATAAAGTAGTAAAAGTAGTAAAGTAGTAAACTTATATCGAAATATGATATTCTGGGAAACGAAACAAAAATTCATAGAAAATAAAGGATTCTGGGATACCTTTATTTTCGATTCATTTTATTTATTTATTAACGAATTAAGTTTTTCTTCTATGAATCTCTGAATAATATTTTAAGGAAAAGTTACCCATTTATGGCACAAAACGCGGCAAAACCCTGGCAGAAAGCACAGTCTATGTGAAAAACTATCTGAAAAAAGTGGTAGTACATATATGCGGAAAAAGTGCTGGGAAAATTACCGCATTGTACGATAATAACATTTCTGGTAATAAAAACCTTAATTGCGGTTAATAAAACAAAAATATACAGTATTTAAACTGTTCGTTTGGTAATTTTTCCGTTCATATGTAACTGTTTACTGGAAACTTCGCTTTTCAAAATTAGAAACTTTATTACCACACATTTAGTTTAAAAAAGGCAAAACAGTAAAGTAAATTCAACCGGATAAATGGTATTTATATCATACTCTAATGTATCATAATGAAATTACCAAATTTTACCATCTTTACCAAATTTTATCACATATTATAAAACCAAATTTAAATTAAAACCAAAATTAAAGAATTTAAAGTGTGATGTAAATAAAGTGCTACATTTTCTTGAATAATTAAAATGAAATATGATTTTTAATTTTTCTTTTTTCAAATTTAAATATTGTTAAAATCGCTAATTTCGTTTCGAAGTTCGCTGTTGTAACGACAATGAATAAATTATAATTTTTTTTTTTAAAATTCAAAAATGACAGAAATATCTTTGAAGCATGATTTTATAATTTAAGGACTGTTTTATTTCCGATTAAATTCTCCTCTCCCATCTGAAAAATTTTTTGTAGGTGAACTTGACAAAAATGATGAATGCAAAAAAAAAGTTTTAAACTACTTTCTTAATTTGTACTTTTTTATCAATGACCTTTGAAAAGCATTATAATTTTTTTTTATTAATGTTGGTTTATTTTTTCGAGTAACATACATTAAAGTGTGAATTTTTTTAAAAATTCCATGCTGGTTTTATAGCAGACTGAGCAAAATGAAATGTATAAGATTTTAAATAAAAAGTTTTCTTAGAAATAGAATTTTAAAATTTTCTAAAAAAATGTCTTATTTTTAATTGCTTACTTCCAAAGTATTTTATTTAATTGTTAATGGAAGTGATGCAAAAGATTTTAAACCCCTTCCATTTTTTATTTTAATTCTTCTTACATTTTGCCTCCCCCAACTACACAAAAATAAAATGAATTATTTTTATCTCTGAAATTTCGATTTCAATAAAGTAAAGAACAAAAGAACGTATGTTTTAGATAACGAAGTTAAAGCAGAACGAAACGAAATAGGTTGTTTAAATGAAAGAAAAATATTTACAAAAAGGAATACCCTGTGCACGATTACTCCTTAAGAATAAAATCCTTTCATTTCAAAGAATGAACTAAGAAAAAAGACATTTTTTAAAAAGATCATTTCATAAATATTTTAATTCAGCATAATGAATGATTTCTTCAGAGAAGCTTAATCAAAAGAAAAGCATTCTTACAAAATTCAAATATTACTAAGTACTGTAATGCGTGGTATTTGTTCGATAACAAAATAATAAAGTTTCTGATGGTTCAAGATTTTTTCTTCCTTCTTTTTGGTCATCACGTTTGACGGCTTTGCACCAATCCTGTCATTTTTCGCCTTTTGGTGCATTTATATTTAGTTTATATATTTATATTATGAAATTTTATATGGCGTGCTAAATGTAAAGCTATTACAACAAGATATGAAACAATACTTGTTGTAAGTGCTTGGAGTTATTTTTGAGAATTTTTATCAATGTTCTACGAGCAACGGCATGAGCTTTTACTGTATAAGAAGGTGATGGGAGTCGTATTTTTCTTATATTCCGATGTCATCAGCCGAGATGAGGAAACTGCGTTTTAGGGGGCATGGCTAATCGAGCAATTTTAAATATTAATCACGAAATAACTATTTAACCCACTGAACTGAAATCGGTGTCGATCATCATAAAATGGTTTGAAGTTTTATATTAAAAAAATGCCACACAGGTTCCTCATTAAGGTTAAGTCTTAGAACGTGAAGATCCAATCATTACATCAAAAGTCATTTAGGGTGGTCCGTTCATTTTTTTGCTCACTGTGCATCTACTGGGAAATATATCTCAAGAAGGATTCTTTGCCAGCATGTTTTCAATAAGATGACTATGAGAAACTATCGAATCTGTTTTTTTGCTATGAAATAGTCATTGGTATGCCCCCAACATATCATTATAGAGTCATCGTAAAGCTGACATTCCAAATACACAACAGTGCAAGCTTAAAATTATGGTATTATAAAAAGTTGACCAGTTACATAAATTTAATCATTTTCTGTAGGAATGTTTTTTTTCTTTTTACCCTTAAAAACAACATACTTATTGAACATATTTAATTTAGGTAATTTTATGCTCCATAATTAGATTTATTTAACTCATTTGTGCTTAATATTGTTTTAAAGGGGTAGACTTTTTCAAGAAAGTAAAAACTGATTGCATAATTTTATTCGTATTTCTTTTTTATAACATAACTGTGGTACCATAACTTATAAATGGTAAATTTATCGATGTTTGGTGCAACAGCATAAAGAGTTTCGTTAAATCTAAATTTATTGGGAACGTAAGAAAATATCCACTTGAGTTTAACATACATGTGCTACGACTTGAAGTACACTTCTTGATTTGTGGGGGGCTGTAACCGCATGGATTCTCACAAAAAGGAGCAGTGGTGAGAAAGACATGAGTAGTTATGATATCGCCGAAGGAAGATGGGGACCGTATCATCAATGAAAGGTTGATAACGGAGGGTATTGTGAAAACACACTTCTTTCATCATTATTATATTTGTGGTCAAACATCAAATATCAATGTGTTAAGGTTTCGTTTTCAGAATTTTACACCGAAATTTTTGTAAATAAGTGTGCATGGTTTAAAGGAAGCAACGAATGGTCCCATTGGCCGACAGAAAAGCTAACTTTATATTGATTATGCAACTAACAACAGGTCTGGTTAGAGGATAAGTGAGTATCTGTGTAAGTGGGTATATATCTTCCTTTAGAATGGAATTGTCCTTAATTTTTAATTAGCAATTTTTTTTCTGTTTAATAATTTAGAAATTCCTTTTAAAATGAATTTGAGAGCTAAAGACAAAGAATTTTATTTCGCACGAGGTGAGTTATTTTTTTATCCCTCTTTCTGCTTACAAAAATATAAATTAGTATTAAATACGTACGCGATTTTGAAAAGTTTCGATGCCAACGATATGCTATACTACAATTTGAACAAAACTCAACATCATTGAAAATTCGCGTGACCTTATTATATTTTCCAGCATTTAATGAGTAAAGAAAAATATTTTTAAAAGGAATTTCTAGTTATTCTTTTCTAAAAACAGTTAAGAATATTTCTTAATAGTTCTTTAACTGTCCAGCACTGCAGTTGAAAACGAAATTGCAAAACGCTGGGTTGTAATATTGGTTTGAATTAAGTGCAAAGTAAGGCATAGATGCTCTGTCAAGTTCTTAAACGGTAGATTAAGAAATGATTGAGGTGACATTTTTGGGGGTACTACAAATTTAGAGAGTGAGTGAGAAATAAAATGGTGTGCATATGAACCATTGACTAAATGAATAGGCGAAATGTTTAGTTGAGCGATTATTTTTTTTTCTAATTTTTTTTTCATGAAATTTGCTTTATTTTTCTTATATTTACAGAACTATCCACATACAAACAGATGATTCATATCAAATAGGAAAATTATGCATTTCCAAAAGGCTGAATTTGTCAATAACCGTCTCAAGTTAAGAGACTAGCATAGTTTAAAAATTTCTCAACAGAGAGTGTTTACTCCAATTAGATTACTAATATTTTATAGATGTCTTTAGAACCATTGACAATGGTGGAAAAATAAAATTAGGAAAAAACATAGGTTATAGTGCTAATAAAAATATCCTTAGAAATTGTGAATTTACGCACTTTTGCTTGAAAATGTTAATAAATGTAATAAAGCAATTAAATAAAAAAAAAACAATATAAAAATGTGATAAACTTTTAATCAAAAATAACTCGTTTTCTTTGGCTGTTATTTTTGAAGATGTTTTGAAGATGTTGTCACCTTTAAACACCACTAATGACCCTTAGGGAAGTTTGCCACAAAAAATTATCATAGGATATCCCTATGGGAAAACTTTACCATGCAATTTTGCCGTAAAACTATAGTGTGTAACAGTCTATTAAATTTTTCCATAGACTATGACAACATTTCTTCACGGCCCTATTGAATTTTGTCATTCGAGTATATAAAAGCTAATTTATACATAGACAAGTGTCATCAAATTTCAGTAAGTTTTTCTTTTCCTTTAGGAGCTTTTCCCAAGATTAATTTGATTATGATTATGATTATAATAAGATAAGTTAAGGTGAGAGATTAAGTATTTAAATATAGGTGAAAAGGCAATAATTATGTAAGAAAGCAAAGGGCAATATACACGGGTGATTCAGATCTTTGAAACAAAAATTAATTAGAAAACATAAATAAAATAAAGATAATATGAGTAATTGGAATGGATTTACAGATTTGTTGTTTCTCTACTCTTAATTAATTCAAATATAATCACAACATCAAAGATTCTGCATGATATCGTAGAAGGATACAAATCATAATTTTTGATATTAGTGAAATTCACACAACATTATTGTAGCCGTGAGAGTGAATTTGTTTCTAGATGCGTCTAAAATCATTTCAACGAAAAAACAAGTTGTTTATAAAACAGACTAAGTTAAAAAATTTTGAAAAACGCTGCAGAAACAAGTAGGATATTGATTAGTTTAAAAAGTTTTAAAATTGATTTAGTTAGAAATTCGAGAAAAAAAAAATAAAATGACAAAATAAATAAAGTAAATTTAAAAAAAAAACTAAAATAAAAAAAGTCGTTTTGGCCGAATAATGATCCATCGCGGTATCGGCGTTACGCTTGGCTTGTCGTCGACTCACTGGAAATTGAAACGCTGTTTTTTCGTTGAAATAATCGAAAACAACTTTAAATAACTATAAATTTCTATAAGATGGGCAAATTTCATTGAAAAGTACTATTGCTTTAATGAATATGGTTTAATTAACGCAGATTTGAGCTGGGTAGTTGGAGTGGCAGTATAACAAAGTCTTCACTTTTCCGCAACCATATCCACTCTCCCATATAAATGACCCATACAAATGCCATATGCCTATGGTACTTCCTTTTAAACATATAGCATAAGACTTTGGTGTTCCGCCATAAAATGTAATACAAATTGGTATGAATACTTTAGCCTTATGTCGTCTTGCCATATAAATGCCATTTAAATTTCTCTGGTTACCATAGGCTTATGGTATATTGCCATATAAATTTCTATGTTAGCCATAGGTTACCATAGAGTACCATTGGTATGTTTATGGCAAATTTTCCTAAGGGGAAAATATCTTAAAATCTAGGGCTATTTTGTACAAGCTGGACAGAGTGGACAGAGACAATTGCTTATTAACTATACAAATGATACAATTTCAATAAAAGCGTAATGTTTTAAATAGTTTTTTTTTCTTTCGAGTTACTTTAGCGATTGTCTTCAGACATTAAAAAATGTCATACTTTTACTCAGAAAATAGATTTATAATTTTTTTAAGGACATTTTATGGAAAGATTTTGGAAATCTGACACTTGCGGTGAATCATCATCGTCATTCAGACAAGAAGAAAACAAAGAGGGATATATCATTGGAGGAAGAGATGCTATAAAAGGCGAATTTCCATGGCAGGTATGTTTCCTAAAAAAATTCGGAATAACCATACATATGCACTGTGTTTCTTAATGATCACTTGAAATATATGTAGAAAACACTTGTTAAACTTAAAACAAAAAGAAATCAACATTATGGATCATAAATTTATATTTAAATGAAAAAGAATGAAAATATTTTCGAAATCTGACCAATCACTAATGAATAATAAGCGTTATAAATTATTAGTTTTAAGATTTAATTACGCCCATTGATTTGCGTAAGCATAGCATTTGGTATTATCTTGAAATAAATTAATCATTCTCACATTTTTTAAAGTTTTTCAAGAGCAAATTCGGATGAGTATTAAGCAAAAGTATTTAAAGTGTTTATAAACTATAATATACAGTATGAACTATGAAAAAGAACAAAATTTAAACAAATGGATTAAAGAGTTTCTAAGTAATAAAAATTTAAAAGAACAATTATTTTGAAGTTTTTACTCCTTAAGAACAATTGGCCAGATATCACTTAAGTTCTGTATTTTTGCGGATAAATAAACTTCTAAGAAATAAATTATTTTTATTTGGAATTACTTTGAGATAAATTAGTTTTATAATATTGTATGAATAGTTCTCCTTTCTCTAATAAGTGTACAAAATTTAGCAATAAAGAACGCAAATTGTGAGTTTAAATGAAACCGCTGGCTAAACTATTGGGACAATATTTTTTAGTGGTCGAAAATTCGACTCTATTGTAAAAAAAAGTATACGTGTTTACTGAAAGTAGATTTTTGTGACTGATTTCATAGTTTAAAATATCGACTGAATAAATTATTTAATATGTTTAAAATTAACTCTTTGAATCATACGTAATACTTAGTGCGTCCAACCATTCAAATAAGACTCATTAAGGTTTTTTATTTTTCAATTTGCAAATTATACATCAATCTTCTTTAGCAAGTATTCTAAAAATATGCAGAGAGTGATCCTTCTGCTTTCATAATTTTATAATGTGAATAAATTATTTTGTTACAGATATCATTACAACGACATTTTGAGAGAAACAATGGTATTTATCACATTTGCGGAGGGACAATTATTGCCAAAAAATGGGTACTAACTGCTGCACATTGCATAAACCTGTAAGTTATGAGTTTTAAATTTCAAATGTATTATTTTAAATTGTTATAGATTTTGTAATAGTTTAAACTGTATCTTGGTTTGTAGTGATAAAAATATTTTTATAATATAAAAAAAAATCAATGTTAGAATTGAAAAGATAATTCGTTAAACTATTTGAACTTAATCTACAGATTAAGTGGGATCAAAACATATTTTTACAGAAACTACATATGAAAAAGCTATCAGAAAAAAATTTAATCACAGGATAAAAAGAAATAACATGGATACATAAACGCTATAATTTGAGTGACCACATTTGGCTTTTGTTCAGGTGTTGGTGTCACAAAATTTTCTTTTATGGGCTGAAAATCATTTATTAGTTTATTATTCCTGCACGCACAAAGATATTTGGGATTTCAAAGTGTGAGTCTATCAAAGTCTCGTACGAATCCGTTTCTCTGAGATAGATCAAACGAAATCAGAAAAATGTGCCTTGAGCAGTTCTTGAGTATTATTAGTTCTGTGTACAGAAGTTACATAATGGATAACCTAGGAGCTACGGTGGCTCAGGGAATAGACCATTCGCCTCCCTAAGTGCTGAATCAGGTTCGAATCCTAGCGATGGCTGGTCGATACGAATTCCTCACATGGATCAGACCGACCACAGTGCTGACGTAAAATATCCTCAGTGGTGGACGGATCATACGTTTGAGTCTCAGGCTAACCATGGGAGGTTTTCTTGGTTTTCCTCTCCAAGTAACACAAATGTGGGTTAGTTCCATCGAAAATTCCTCTACGAAGGAAAATTCCTCTCAATTCTTGTCTTCTCTATTAGATTCAAAATTACAAGGCCACAGAGTTTAACATTGGTAGTTGTAAAGTCAAAAAATTGTTTCGGCTGTTCAACGACGGCTATATAATGGATAACCCAGAGTCGTGGTAGCTTAGAAAATAGAGCACTCACTTCCTTATGAGGTAACCCAGGTTTGAATTGCAGATGTGGCTAGACGATATGCATTCTGCACCCAACTAGCACCGACCACAGTGCTGAGGTAAAATATCCCCCTTCGTTGACAGATCACGGGTTAGCATTCCTTTGCTGTCAAGCTAACAGTGGGAGGTTTTTATCTTCATACAAGGCAAATGTGGCTTAATTCCATCAAAAAGTTCACCACGAAAGCTAGTTTTCCTTATGCTTTATACACGATTTTCCTTGTCTTTTGGGTTGGGATCAAAGTTACAAGGCCACGGAATTGAACATCGATAGTTGTAAACTCAAAATTAGGTCAGCTATTCAGCATCGGTTATAAAATAAAATAAAATGGATATCCCAGTCAAGTATCATACACATGTGGGAGTGTATACCCGGATCATTATTAAATATATATAAAAATAAAACTTTTTTTTATTTAAAAAATATTTTGTTTTGAATTCTAAAGTATGTCTACACACCCTGTAAAAATTATCCATTATAAATATATTGTTGTTTACTAATTTTCCAAAAGGTTATTACAAAATTATCACACAAATGTTTAAAGTAAAAACTAAAAAGAGAAATATAATTTCGAATGAAGAAAGAACTGAGATTGAAAAAAAAAGGTTTGGAATCTATATGAAATGTTTTGTGTGTGAGGAATAAAGCAGGGTTCGTGATTTTTTTGATTTTTTTAAAAAAAATCAAAAAAATCGGATTATTTTGATTTAAATCGGATTTTTTTGATTTAAATCAGATTTTTTTGATTTTTATTCAAATACACTATAAGAGCTTTAATTTATGATTAAAAAAACTTTATAAATGTTTAATCAAAATTAAATTAATATTAAAACTATATCATAACAACATTTTAGAAGCTCTAACTTATTAAAATAATTTTTCATTATAATGCATAGCGACCATTTTAATACAAAGGCATGATTGAAATTAAAAGACAAGATAAAAAAGATAATTTAAAGAATACTACTTTAACTAGTAACACAAAGTTTCAATTAGCACACCATAATTTTAATTTAAAATTGTGATCTCTTTTTTTTTTCTTGATTTATAAAATGGCAAAATAAATGCAACAGATTGTGTTTATAAATGTTGTCATTCATCAAAAAATAAATATTCAATCTATAAATTTTTATGTTAAAATATTCATTTTTAATCCTATATCAAAATACATAAGTTAAGCTAAAAAACATTTTAAAAAAATCTATGTACTCATTGGAATTTTTTTCACAAAAGAAAATCTGATAATTTCAAAGATACCGTAAACATATTATAAGAAGAAAAAAAAATACCAGTTAATAAACCCTACTGCTTCAAATAGACTTTGTAAGGGAAGAATGACACTATATCAGGAAAAAATATCTGAACTCAGCTTCTTTTTTTTTCTTTCTATTTTTGGCATATTAAGGTAATTTCTTTTTAATATTACCTCGAGCTTTAGAAACATAGAAATTTCCATCAATAAACTATAATGTAGATTTGAATTCCATGCTTTTTTAATCAAAAGGTAGAATTTTAATTAACATTTGCTTTTTTTTCTTTTTGAAAAAAAATCATGTTTATTTACTTTCTACAGCTATGCAAGTCTATATTAAGACAGCATTAAATATTTACTTTAATCTGTACTTTCAATGTTAAGAATCAAAAGATTTTTAAACATGTAATTTTAAATGTGTTTAACACACTCCAAGAAAGAAAGTAATTTCGTTAACTAAAATTAATTAATGCAGCAATTTATTTAAAGTAAATGTTAAAACTAAGAAAAGAAAATAATAAAAGTATCAATAATTTAAAGCACTGTTTTTTAACTTTTAAAATCAATATAATATATATATAAAAATCTATTGATTTAAATCAATGATTTTTTTAAAAAAATCATTTGATTTTAATCATGATTTAAATCGTGATTTAAATCAAGCTGATTTAAATCAACGAACCCTGGAATAAAGTCCATAAAATTAAAGAAGTATTACAAAAATTTACAGGTTCTGCAACGTGAGAATTTAATTTCTACTTCAGCAAGCATACAACGTTCTATTGAATGCCATGCATATTTAATGCCATATGCATTTAACGACATAAAAATATTCTATCAACAGAGTCAATTTGGAAAAGTACCCTAAGTGTCACTTGCCAATCGGGAAGAATTTTTTTTACAGTTAGTTTTCTTGGTAAAAAAATAATTCTTTCGTCTATTTAGAAACAATTATCTAGTTACAAATTATTAAAAGTTCCCGAAGGAAATCCGCCTAACTCTATTTGCCTCGCAAATGAAATACAATGTTGTTCTAAAAAGGTTACTTTAATTTAAGACATTTTTACCTTAATCAGCTTTAATCTTCGCGTTTTACAAAATCAAAATCTAAATGTTAAATTTGATAACGAAAGTAATACTTCTTTTAAGTTATAAATTTGAAAATCTTTTGTATAACTATGCATTTTAAAAAGTATTTTTAAGATAACATTTTAATATCCGTATTTGAATATATATATATTCTAATTATCAAACCATTTAATACTCTACCTGGATAATCAGAATGATAATTAAAGTAAGGGGCTAATAAAAGTCTGTAATAATATTTGCAAAAATTTAAATAAAATAACATATGTGAACGAGCTTTTCTTATAATTTTATATAACAATCATGTGTTTTGTCTTATTTAAATAATTTGAATTAACTTACTTTTAGAACTTGATTCCATGAATACAGCAAATGAAGAATCAAACTGTGTTTAACCCTTGTGTTTATTTTCTTTTACTTTTGGAACTTTGATTACGATAGATTAGCTGAGCAACTTGTTTACTTTTGGATTTGTTCTTTACAAATGTGGTTTCGAATAATGCAATACCAAATATAACAATTTAGGGCTTAAAAACCCCCTTATTGAAACTTTGATTTTTGAGCTGATTTGATCTCGTTATCAAATGAGCCTGTGATAGACTGAGATTTGATCACGCTGTAAGCGAATGGAGCAATCATGCGATGAAAGCATTCTATTATATAAAATTCTATGAAAGTCCTATTAATTTCTTTATAATCTTCATACATTTCCCAATATATCCTCTATTTAATTATGCACTTAACTAATATGATTTTTTGTAAAGTTATGAAACAAACATAAAAACAACATTAGCAGTGGTTGTACTTAAACTTGAGAAGGTGTTTTTGTTCTTTGCTGTTAGAAGAGAGTAAGATAAGAATACATAAGAAATTTAATAGTTTTTGCAAGGTTCCAATTACAGAGTAATAATAAGTTTCCATTTTAGTGTTAAGGGATTCATAAGCGAAGCACGATTTTTTTTCAAAGCAGGTAACAATGGCCTTTTTTTACAACATTATACAGCACCAGCCTGTGGGTGTAAACTGTTTTATGTATGAATAAGATTGATTTCTTGAAAATTGAAACTTAGTTTGTATATATATTTTTTTAAGTGTCTTTTTGATTTAACTTGTTTTTAATTATTCTTAATTATACAAAATAACTGCGTGTTTTATTAAAATACATAAAATTTTTAGAAACATAACCTCAAAGAAAAAGACATTTTTTTCAAAGCATCCAAAGTAATTTTTGCTTAAATTTGAACATTTTAACGTTTCACTTTTTCTGTTGTTGTTATGTAAAATTTTTGTCAGTTATATTTATTTTCCTTTTTTCATTCTCCTTTATATTTAGAGATTTTCATAATGTAAAAATTATACATTTCATTCGTAAAATGTTATTAAAATAAATTTTATGTTATTATTAAGACAACTTCAAGTTTGTGAATCTTATAAAAATTACTTTTCAGCTCAAAAGTATCAAAATATCGCATTGTATCGGGAACCAGTGATTTAGCTGAAGGTAATAAAGCAAAACTTGGTGTTGGAACTTCCCAATCAGTTCATAAAGTGAGTCAAATTAATAGTTTAATACATTAGAATTAAAATAAAAAACTATTTCATAAATAACTCAACTAATAATATTTGTGTATAATACACCTTGTACAAAACTTGTAAATACAAATTCATGCATATTTGCATTCTGTTAGGTTGGAAGATCAGTACCGTCATATATTCTCATATATTCTATATGATCAGTACCGTTCTGATTAGATCAGTACCGTCATATATCTATTCGTCATATATCTAAATTATAGGGAAATAGTAATGTGTCAATAATGAGCGAAGACAATATTGACGAATACTAAGTCAATATAGTCTTTCGATCATCATTGAGGGTGAATACTAATCCACTGCCTATAAACTTTTAGTGAAGTTTTATTGAGATCGTCAAAACCAAACCATGCACGCTATTTCAATAATCGCGTTACGCTGACAATAATTTCGGATAAGTTACAGTAGAAAGTACTGACACCGTGAGTGCAGCATCCTTAAAATCCATTTTTGCAGTAGAATTTTATGCCGTAATTATTTTTAGTAGTATTTATTTAATTACAGTGATTCAGTAATTTTAACAGAAAGTATTACTGAAAAAACTTCCTCTCATTTTTTGTTCCTTGAAACTTCACGATAAAAAGAATTTTATTGTAAAAAGTGCTGAGTGTCGGTATTTTTTACCGTAATGATTTAGGATTTTTACAGAGTATATCTAACAGGTGAACTTAAGCAGTCACCTTTTTATGCATAGAACTTCAACTGCAGTGGAAACATATAAATTTTTTTTTAGATAGATAGGAAAGAGATACTTTTAATCAAAATTTTGAGTTTTTGTGTACTTATTTATATAATTTAATTGAATTATTACTTGTCTTTAGGGCTAACTTCTTTTATATTTTTTTTCGTCTTAAGAGGCCAAAATTTCTTAAAATATCAAAACTTAATAATCCTTTTCTCGTTGTATTTTAAATTATACGCTTTTTTTCTTCTAAAAATTCCATTATGTTCTTTTTTTAATAATATAGTGACGGAATTCTATGATCTTTGGATGATGTATTTTTCTTACTTTGGCAGAGAGGTGAAGATTTTCTTTTCTCTAGGTTATATATCTGTCATAAGAAATTATTGAGTATAAAAAAGTATAACGAAACTTGAAATATATAAATTAAATAATTTGCATGTGAGTGAAAAAATAAGAAAAGAACGAGGCATGATAGTTAATTTAACGACTTTAGAAAAATACGTTAAATATAATAATTCTCATACAATTATTATCATCTATATTGTATTTTTCTAGGCAATAAAATTAAGAAAGCTGCTTTATTTAGACTGCTAACTTGCAAATCTTTATATCTAATTGAAAATTTCAAGCCACCTCAAGCATTAATTTTTTATTGATACTATCATGAGTAACCAAAAACTAATTATTTCTATGAGTAAAACCTTTTGATGCTCCACTAAAAAAATCAATCTATGAATGAATTAAAATCCTTACGAAAAAACTCTCGATTCACGTCAAAAAACACACTAATTAATGGACAATATGAATTCGTGCGCAAAATATCGATGGCACTGAAATTTCATGGTTCATGGAGAACTATTGCGCAATGCATATTCTTATAAGGAAAAAAATTTAATGACAATGGAAGAACTAAATATTTTGTTACACTTTGATTTTGTAATTTTTCTAGAGGTAAAGCTGATGAATTTGTCTTTAATTTAATGATGAAACGTTTGTTTATATGCATTAATAATTCTAATGCACTAATAATTCTAACGCATAACCAAACATACAAGTATTTAATAATTCTAAAATTTCTTTAATACTACATATATTCAATATGAATTGCAAATTGGGTATAATTCAAGTATATCGTCTTATTTAAGAATACTGGAAAATCGGGAAAGATTTAGTAATATTTTTTTAAAGGACTTTATATTCTCCACAGGTCTATGATGCCTACGTACATGAAGCCTTTTCTGCTCAAACATTACAAAATGATATAGCTTTACTTCAAGTCGACCCCCCATTTGACTTTAGCCGACATGACGTTCGACCTGCTTGTATCCCTCCCCCAGGTTTCGAACCACATGGATATGCTACTGTTTCTGGATGGGGTACCTTAAAGGAAGGTAAGCTAGAGCCTGAAAAACGAACTTATGAGACAATATTTTAACTCTGTACTTTAGCAGATATTATTTTAATTTTTCCCACAGTAATCACAGAATATTTTCACTTCAAAGATTATCAGAAAATGTTTTAAGTTTGTACTTAGTCATCAGAAAATATCTGAACTAAATACAAAATTATCACAGTTAGCTCTATACTGAATTAGCTCTATACTGAATAATTTTTAAAGTCTGTAAAAAACTAAAAAAAGTCTGTAAAGAATATTTTAACTCTGTAAAGAATATTTTAACTCTGAGTAGAGTTTTTTAAAAATATTGAATGTACCATTATGAGGGAAAATATATAAAAAATGTTAGATTGAAAATGATTACATCTTGAATATTACATGAATGATTACATCTTGTAACAATTTCGCCAGAATATTTTTATATTTCACTTAATACAGGGGAAATAATTTGAAAAGTTATAATATAATGATATTTTAATGGTAATAAATAATATTTTAATGGTTTGAAATATTTTATAATTAAAAAAATTTAAAATAAATACTTACACTATACTCATTTCAATTAATTAATATCGATAATTGTGTTTCCTTCGTGTAATCATAAAAACAGTTTCGAAAATCATATTTTCATCATGTCTTCAATCTGACTAATAATTCTTTGTCAAGTATTGGAAAAACTCAAAACACTGTTTGGTCTTGGAAAAGCAAATTATAGCGTAAGTTAAATTCATTACCACATTTAGGTCACAATCACATTGCTATACCTTGAATATAGCACAAGAAAAACAATGTGGAGTCTTCTTAAATTTGTTTACTAAGAACAAAAAATGTGGTAAGTTTCTTGTAAAGCTTTTATTTCAGCCTATACCATCTATTCGAGAATTAAGCAAGTGAGTAATACTTTTATAATATACACTTAAAGTAACAAACAAATTCAATCAAACAATCAATAATAAAAGTGAATAAAGGTTTTTATAAATTAGTAAAATGTTTTGAAAGTTTTCTTCTTAACTATTATCATGCATTTAGAAAAGCTCATGAATTTGACTCAAATGCAAAAAAATTAATCATCACCTCAGCAAATCTCGTTTCTAAAATATTTTCTACCTTCTTTGATATTTTAGAGAAGTTTGTTGCAACCTTAAAATGATAATACACTATTACGCAAATTGCTCGTTCTTAAACCTTTGAAAATATAACTCATCTTGAACTAAATATCTATATACTGCAGAAACTTTTCACTCTTCCATGGTTCTAGGTGCCAATATTAAGGTACAGCAGTAAACCGTAATATCAGTACCTTGAATCATGATAATGTACAACGTTTACTTATTAAGGTTGTCGAAAATTTGTACGATGGTTTATTCTTAATTTTTTTAATAAAATTGATGGTTTAATTGTTAAGTAATAATCTTAGGTTCACGTATTATACCAACAAGACTCCAAGCTGTAGATGTACCTATTATAAGTGATGAAAGCTGCAGAAAAGCATATGGTAAAGCCATTGTTGAAAGCATGATGTGTGCTGGTTACGAAGAAGGAATGAGAGATTCTTGTCAAGTATGACCCTTTTTAAATACATTATATTTTTCAAGATTATTTTAAATTTTATAAGTTGATTAAATCTTGTTCATTCATTTGTTGCAAATGCATATTTGATCTGTTGTCTTTTTGACTTTTTTTCTCTTATATATATAAAAGACATATAGTACTAACTGACTAATTTTTTTTTAATTATTTGTAATTAGTAAATATATGAAGATTGTTTACATTTCTATTCCCTCTCTTAAGTTCAGTAGTGGAATCATTTTTGTACAAGCACCATTCAAGGTCACTGAGACCATTTTTAAATTTAAAATGTCTGCAATTCAAGATCATTTACTTTAACGATTAATTGTCGTAAATTTTGAATCAACTTATAACGTTCAACGCTTGCGTAAATGAAATATTTCTTAAGACAAGTATGTTAAACACCATAAAAATTAAGAAATAAAAGATTTGCATTAGTCGGTGATGGTGTAACAAAATGCTAAAATAAATTAATATACAATCGGCTAAAATAAATTAATATACAATCGGCTGAAATAAATTAATATACTTAGCAAACTAAAAGCGAGAAAAGTTTTTTTTTTAAATTTTAAACTCTATGTAGACAAAATTAGTTTGTTTTTTAAAATTTAATCCTGACATAATACTTATGTGTATGGCTATAATACTTTGCATATTTTAAAATATGTCTTTTTATAGCACTCATACTAATATTTTGAAAGAAAAACAATGTATGGAACAAAATTATGAGCTTTGAAATGAGCTACCTAGTGTCTTTAATCTGACATTGTAGAACTTTTTATTGAATAGTTTAATGTTAAAACTGTTTTAATTCTTAAACAATATATGTAGACAAAAAGATAAGTTTGATTTTCAAAACTCAATCCTGCTTCAACGACATTAACAGTCACAAAATATTGAGATCAAAGATAAACAAAAAGAGTGCAAATATATATGGCGACAAGAAAAGATGAGAAAGAATTAGATAGATCCTACATTAAGAAGATAAAAAAACTATGGTCAGAACTACCCAAAATTAATAAAATTTACGGTGTTTTCGGTTCTATGGGAACATCAAATATCTCGAACATTTTCACCGAAGTGCTTTGGTAATGATTTTAAGAAAATCAAATAAAATATGCTTTCATATTATGTGATATTTTTTTTTAATTTTTAAAAAAAAAATTAAATTTTATTTTTTTTAAATTTTTCTAATTTTTAAAAAAAAATTTTAATTTTTAATTTAAATTCTATTAACTTTAACACATGGCATAAAAATCATTCACTCGGTTAAATTTACTTCGCAGTTTATATTTTATACTAAATGTATGGAAACTCGAATTATAAATTTTAAAATCAAAATTTTCGATAAATTGTTATCATATAAAACGAAAGCAGTACCGCATATTTTTGTTTTATTTAACAAGAATTATGTTATTTTTTCTAAAATAAATATCATATACAGTACATCACTATAGAGTACAGTAATTTTACCAGAATGTTTTTCTCCTTGTAGTAATTGAAAGAAATTTTTAGAAAATTACTTACCACTGAACAGCTTTTGCTCCACTAATGATCAATGAATGAATAAATATTTCACTTGGAAAGGCTTTTATAGCACCATTTCTAAAGTATACTTAAATAAAAGTTATTATGCAATAATACTTCCGAGAATACAAATCCGGACATCCGGATACAAATTAATTTCTCCTTGAATGGTTACCTAAGTTAAATAAACATATTTTAATGCTTACGGACTTCGTATTATTAAATCATATTTCATGTCATCTCACTTTTAATAATAATTTTAAAAGAATGAAAAATGAAATGGAATTATTAGGAAAAAGGATCCTTGATTCCTATGCCAAAACGTAATGATTTGTTTACCTAGAATTGTTATTATTCAATGAAAAATATTTTTCCTACGAAATATTATGAAAACAAAACAATTGATTTTTAAAATTTACTTCCGACACAATTGTTTTAATGAACATAAATTTAATGCAATGATCATTATCAAAATATTTCATTTTATTGTACTCTTAGTATTAATTTTAAAGAAAAAAACGAAAGAATGTAATGGAAACATTAATTAGCTATGAAACAGAGCCTCTAGAAATGAACATTATAATAAATTATTTTTCTAGAAGAGTTATTATTCATTGAAAACTATTTTCAACTAAATATTCTGCAGACTTTCTATTTTTTAGATTACTTAACAAATGCGCGCATTTTTGCTTTTAACAAACAAAAATTTCAAGATAACTTATAAAAGTTTTACATTCTTGTTTAAAATTTAAATTCGTGATTATTTTTAATCTTAAATTTGCGATGTAATGTAATTCGAAAATTTATTTTATGTGTTACTTAAAGAATTTTTTAGAATATAAATGACAAGGGTGGTATATAAAGAAAAAATTGTATATAATATGCATATCATTAAATGTATGGTATAATTGTACAAGTTGAGCAACAGTTGCACCTGTTGTTAAGTGTCTAGAATTGCTACAGTGTCTACCTACTTTTAAACTAAATATGCATTAACATGGCGATTTAATATCAGCTTTTTCCGCAAGCTTGATCCGAAGTTATTTGTTTCATGTTTTAAATTATACGAAAAAAATTTCCTCTCAAAATCCTAAAGTGTTCAAGATTTACTATAAGCAAACATCTTAAGTTCATCATTCATTTTGAAAACAGAAAGCGCGTACGTCAACGTTATTTTCAAAAGTATAAAGACAAACTGCTATTATTGTATTGCTATTAAAAATCAAAGTGCTATTTATCAAAAGAAAATCTATTCTGCTATAAGACTATTATGATCCGACAATTTTTGAGATGACAATATTGTGATGAAGAAGCGTCAGAAAGTATTTTTCATAGAATTCCTGCGCCTTTTTTTCTGATGGCTGAATGGGTCACGCAGAAAGTGACGAACGTTAGGCAGTTTATAACATGCCATGACCTGACAGAAACTCCCACAATGATGGAAGTATTACCAAACTATATTGGGAACAATATGAACTGCAAGTAACTAGAATATTTTAATTGTATTCTTACCTTGAATTTTCGTTTATTTTGTTTTATCTTTCCAATTTCTTTTTTTTTATTCTTGACCTATTGCAAAGGAAATTAAGCTATATGCAACTCACACACCCGTTGGAAATTTAAATAAATTTTCACGGACCAATGCTCGAATGTTCTACCAAAGTTCGATTACTGAAACTTATTATTATTTCAAATTATTATTGTTACTATTATTATTATTACTATTATTATTACCATTATTAATAGTACTGTTATTATTATTATTACTATTATTACAACTATTACTAATTTCATTATTATAATTATTATAATTATAATTATTACCATCATTATTATTATTGCCATTTTACTGTCTTAAAACAATACAATGCTTTTCAGGGTGATTCTGGAGGTCCACTAGTTCAAAAATCTGGTTCTGGAAAAACGATGATTATTGGAGTGGTCTCTTGGGGTCAAGGTTGTGCTCGGCCAAAATTCCCGGGTGTATATACCCAAGTCTCATATTATAACGATTGGATAGATAAGACAATGAATTTCTTAGGCTCGTTTGATGACTTCAACATACCTTTCTAGAATAGAAGCTGTAATTAAGAAATGCTAATAATCGTAGTTTCAAAGCTCAAAACATTCACCCTAATTTATTATCATTTTGTATATACATATTGTAATAAAATGTAGTTTATCAATAATTATATCATTGCTGTATATGCTTTAATTCTGCTTAAAATTTGAAACAATATTTTATAAAACATATTTTTTAGTATCTTTAAATGGGTTTCTCAATTTCCTTTATATACACATTATGACTTATGAGAAAGAGTGATTGAAATAGATATTACAATAAGATTAAAAACCAAAATAAAACAGATATTGAGAACGCAAATTACTGATTTTATTCAAACATGAGCCAATATCGCTCTGAAATCGTAATTTTGTTTTTATAGATAAAAACTGCAGGAATTATCTTCTTGTGAATTAGCACTTCTATTAAATAACAGTTCGATATAAATCAATTCAAATCAGTTCAATTTACTATTTACTTTTATTTCCATTCACTGGATTGTACTTTTTATAGGTCTTCAGTAAATTTATGTGCAGCTTGAGAACCTAAGTTTCAATTACCATCCGTAGCAAAGCATCACTTACAAAAAGAATAAATGTTTATTAACAGAATTCAATAATTGCTTTTACAGAAGAATATTAAAACTGCAATGGGTGAAAAAAAGATGATGTTATATTGTAAAAAATTCCGAGTAAAATTCCGGGAAAAATCAACGGCACTCAGGGTACCGATACTTTTTACCGTAAAATCCATTTTTATGGGAGCAAGTCAAGGAACTGAAAATCTAATGTATCGTAATTTTTGCAGTAATAATTACTATAAAATCACTGAATCGTCCTAATGAAATAAATATAACTGTCAAAATTACTGTATAATATTTTACGATAAAAAGGGATTTTACGGTAAAATGGACTTAACGAATGATGCATCCAATGCAATACTTTACACAGTAATTTTATCCGGAATTTTTTACAGTGTAAAGTTTTATTAAGATTTCTGTTTGTTACTTTTTCCGGTTTTACTATTTCTGGTAAGTTTAAAAATATTTAAATTCATTAAAAATATGGAATATTTATGAGAAGGTGATACCATTCTTAGCTAATTTTTTTCGGCATACATAGTTTATGACACTGTGGAATTTTGCAATTTCAAGTGCATATTATGGGTTTTTAATTTTATTTCAGTTTAGCTTGTTCGGCAGTGTACCATTCAACTCTACAGAAGGAGACAAATTGTAAAAAACTCAAAACTGAGAAGTAATTTAATCCGAATAAATGGTTTTTATGCCACGTTCTAAGGTATCAAGATAAAACTACCTCATTTTATTAATTTTGAAACACGATAAAACAATATCCTATTGCTGCTTTTACCAAAATCATTACTGAAGCTCATAGGTAAAATTATCATGCTTTTTGACATTTCCATAAGCCATAAACACGGTAAATTTTATCATATTCTGTTAGCTCTGATCATAATTTTTTTTCAGTGTACATTCAACCCAATTCAAAGTAAAGTACTAGGTGTAAACTAAAATCTATAACCATTCGAATAAAATTTGAACATTAACACATACAATAAAAAATAGTGTTTGGAGCGTGTTGTATGTGCAAATTTATCACCAGGGGCGTACCGTTTAAAAATTTATGATTAATGTTAACTTTGAAACTTTAACAAAATATTATTTAAGGTGATGCATTTTAAAAAAGAAGCTGATTGTATACATGTGCACTTAATTACACTAGAACACTATTAAAACACTGGAATTAGAGTATCGGAGAAAAGTTATTTAAATAGATATTTTTTTCTCAAATTCATTTGAAAATCAAAATAATTATTAAGGAGGACGCAAGTGTAATTGGTTTATTCAACATTTTGCCCTGGCAAAAAATACGGAACTAAGATTGTTTTACTGAAATTCTCTAATTAGTCCTATTAACGTTTAATAAAATATTCTACTTCCTTATATGTAAAAATTAAGTGTTTATTTTATTTTTCATTATATTTTGATAATAGAATGCATTGGTTTTCAGAAATGTAGCGAAGGTGAACAGTACAATTCGATTTGCATTATACTGTTAATTCCTTATGAAAATTTCACAAGCAGGAAGCTGAAAAATAAGATAATTCTAAAAAGAACAAAACTTACTTACTTATTTGGAATACATACATTAAACACTGTTGGAGTAAAAATCGATGTATTCTAGCTCTTATGGTAAGATGCAAAATGATTGTTGAAGTTTCTAAAGTACATTCTTCTAAACTATAAATTAAATCATGAATGTGTCATAATATCTTTTAACCACACCTGTTCTTAATCTAAATAAATTTCGGAAATATGTCTGAGTTACTTTTAGAATAAGTTTTGCATAAGCCTTATTTAGAAGCGAGAAAATATAAACAATGCAAAGGTAAACAGAATAATAACACGGAGAAAAAAATTCTGGTAAAATTACCAAACTGTATGGTAACGATATTTCTGTTACGAAAAAAACACAATTCTGGTTAATAAGACTAAAATATACTGTATTTAAATCATTCATTCATATGAAAATTGTTTTCTGGAATGTTCCGGCTTTCAAAATTATAGTTCTTATTACCACGCATTTAGTAAACAATGCAAAACAGAAAAGTAAATTTTCCAGAATAAATGGTTTTTATGTCATACACTAAGGCATCATGATAAAATTACAGAATTTTATAGCATAGTAAAAAAAAATATTTTATTGTTAATTTTACCAAAATCTTTGCCAAGGCGTTTTTGAGAAAAATTAAAAAAATATTTAGTCTTCCCATAGAACCAGAAACTTGATAAATGTTACCACATTATGGTAGTTTTGAACAGAGTTTTTTCTTCGGCGAAGAATTTTTTTTTTCATAGTTGTAATTAAATCTGAACTTTGTTTTCAATTCTATATTAGTTTCTTAGGTTCTCAGTTTCTGTGTTTGTTTTCCGCTCATGAATTATAAATAGGTCCTTTAAGATTTCTGATCTGAAACTGACAAGATTCTTTCTCATTCAACAATTTATTCATCAATTCGAATTGAGCTATTTATTTCTTTACATTATTAAAGAAAACAGAATAAATTTAAGCATTACGAAAAAAATTAAATAGTAGCTTTATGTATAAACATTTGCAATTACCTAATTTTTGCCCAAATGTTTAACTTTTCATGAAAGAATTCAAATTTTGAATTAATTCGATTTAATATTTATTTTTTTTTTAACTCTTAAATAACTCTCTCAAAAACTATTCAACCTACTTTGTTCAAGTTTCATATTTTAACAAAAAAACATTGCATTGTTTTAGAAGATGCAAAATTGAAAATAAGTGATATTATTTTTCGATTGACTATTTTCCATAAAACGGATCCCTCTACTTATTATATTTTTAGGTACATAAATGTGGGCCGGGATAGCCTGGTCGGTAAGGCGCTGGGCCCATGTCCGAGAGTTCGTGGGTTTGAACCCCGGCGGCCGAAGACTCTCCGTGCAGTAAAATGGTGACTGATGCACGTTAAATCTGCCGAGTCGCAAAGTCCTCCATGCTCCCATAACAAATCAGTACCTCTGGGGGTATTGAATTGGAGGTTGATCGTTCTCTGATTCAGGTCAAAATTACGATCTGTGGATGAATGAATGGATGTATGAATGCGTCCGCTCTACAAACAGGCGTGACGTAATGGGTGTTGTAGAAGTCGAATTCTTGGCCATAGATGGCGCCACTGGAAAACAGAAACAATCGCCCCCTCTGCCTTAACAAGCATACGAAAGCAAGCAAGGTGCATACATTATCAATTAAAATGCAGAATAAATCTTTGCGTTTTTAAAATTTCAATTATTACTGAATATTTCTGGAAAACCAAATTTCAAGAAGGAAAAATCTTGCAAAAAAAAAAAAAAAAACGAGTTTAAACAAAATCCTGGAAACACTCTTTGTTTAAAAATATTTAATGTTATATTTTGAAGTTAGAAAAGAACCAATCCGTTAGGAAGTTAGCTCATAAATGTATACTACAGAGTATTCAGCAAATACTACCCTTAATAAATATGTTGTGAATTTTCTAAATGGAGGTCCCAAATTCCTATTTAAATCTGTAATAAATTTAACTACTTATTTTTTCCTCGTTGTATCGTCAGTCAGTTTTTAAGGTCAGCTGGATGTAAAAATTGTAGAGAAATCATTCATTTGTGGATATAGAAATAATCTAAAAGTTAATCAAACATTGATGTATTTTATAAAATTTTTATTCTCAATCACAAGTACATATATGTCAGATATACAAATAAATTAATTCATAAATATGACGATTTAAAACACTCTTTGTACATAAATGGCCATTTGACACGAAAATTTGTAAGCGTGACTTGATTTGCTCCACGTGTCTTTTTGAAAGAGTGTTAGAGCTGCACTTACAAATAAACTTATGAATTCGTTTTATACATAGATTAGTTTAACTTACATTTTCAGATTTTTAGCAAATGTTTAAGTTAAAAAGATAAAGTTCAATCTCTACTAAAATTATCTTAGATAAAGCTTTATTGTTGTTAAAGGCAACATTTTAATATATCAATGAAAAGGTTATAATTTTTTAAAAATAATAAGTTATTATATGTTAAGATATCAACAGAGAAATTCTTAAAGTGATATCGCTCCACGTGTGTCTTAAAGTAATATTTATTATATTTCAAACGCTAAGCAAACTATCTAAAACAATCAAAATCTGAAATTATGCGAGATTAATAAAAATCACTGTTATGTTTACCAAAAGATTTAGGGGAAATAGATGTTGGTTAAATTTAATTTTAAATTTGAAATATTTTGTACGAATTAATACTAAACAGGTGGAAGCACAGTTTTTTTTCAAAATCAGCAATAATTTTAATAAAAATTTGCAATTAAAGATGTATTCAGATTTGAGCAACCTAATTTGCATTAAAGTTAAAAGAAATAACTTTCTTAAGGAAGAATTGCAAGTATTATACTTGGGAGGCATAAGAACTTGGTCAAATTTATATTTGGATTTGAAACATTTTGTTTAAATTAACTCTTTAAAAAGGTTGGAGTAAATTTTCGTTAGAATCAATACTCATTTTAAAAGTTACATAGTTAGCAAGCAACAAAGCATAGTCACAAAAAGAGCAATTAGCACTCAAGAGGGAAAAAAAGTAAGGCGGCGGAAAGCAAATTTAAACGCAGATGTATCTTGAAAGTTTGAATTTAAAAATTAAAAAAAAATTAACGTGATCGGTCTGTTACAAGTTAGTAATTTGATAAACGAGTTATAACTCAATTATAGTTCCATCTCTAATGATTAAGTCCTTGAAAATAAATGTGAAAACATATGATTAGCTTACTAGTTATTTGATTAACTAACTAGTTACTTGTTTTTCTCAAAATGCATGAGAAAAGTGATATAGAACTAACTCTACTTTCTTCCTTGTTAAATGAATTATTTTTAATTACTAAAGAACTAAAGCTCATTTTCCTACAATGAATTATGGGAAGAGCGAAAATTGATTTTGTCTCGGTGATTAAGTTTTGTGATATAATTTTGATTGACATAAATAATGAGTTATTTTTTTTCCTTTTAATGAATCATGGAAAGAATGAAAAAGAATTTTCTCCAAAAAAGTATTATAAATTGTTTTTTTGCTATAAATAATAAATTTTTCCCAAGTTACTTTATAATAGGAAGATCAATGCAGCATTTAAATGATTATGATACTTATTTGACAGACACAAACATGTCTCACTACCAAGAAATAAAAAAGAGACAGGCATCTTTTGCTTTTTTTCTAGAAACGTGATTGTAATAGGACTGAAATATATACTTTTTTTATATCTCTGTTCAGTTATGATGCATTTTTGATTAATCTAAAAAAATGCTTTTTAAGAGTATTTGTTTATGTTCAAGTTAATCAGTTCATTTAGATCTTTCATGTAGAAACTTCCTTAAGGATTTTCGGTTATTATCATTTACTTAGGCTAATTTTTTTATAGTTAATATCAAGTTTATTTACTGACTTTGCATTTCCACTGTACAGAAATACTAAAACTCTTTATTTCAAATTTTGGGTAAATTTATGTATATAAAAAAACAATTTTTAAATGTTTGAAGACAAAGTATGCAGCGTAAATTCTTTTTATTTTGTTAATAAATAAAAAAATATGTAATAAAAATTCAATGAACTATGATGAAACATTAAAAGGACTACCTGATTTTATAATTATCTTAAATGGGATGTAATTCTTGGAAGGCAAAATACTGCATCAAAATTTAATTTTCTGAAAATTTAAAATTCAATGATGTAAAACTCAATTTTTCTTAACTTTAACCGTTCTTTATTAACGTATTGTACCGTGGAGTCATCATAGCAGTACTGATGATTAAAACTTGCTTTAATTTATAAAGTAAAACAGTTAGCATATAAATTGGTAAATCTTTATCTATATGAAGCCTTTTATGGTTTCCATATATAGAACAGTAATTTATGCGATTGTACTTAACCAAAACTCTTCTTGCTATTTATTGCAAGCTTTACGGAGTTCGGGACTAAGCTTCTTCATCGGCTTTTTATTTTTATACTTTTGCAAACAATGATAAAAACATACAATTTAAAAATGAAAGACTTACAATTAAAAACTTAAATTATAACAAAAATTAGTGGGAAAAATCCTTTCTATCAACTTCACACTCAAATAAATCTGATTTCTCAAAAACAGATTTGTTAATATTATTTCCTTCTCATACATTTGTGCGTATGACTTTTCGCAAATATAGCATGTTAGTGAAAGGAAAATGTCACAATATATTTTTATACAATGTTCTTCCGACTGCTGCCTCCAGTGATGTCCTGTATCCATCCAACATAATGAGCCACTTCGGTATAGACTCCAGGTTTACCAGGTCTTGCACATCCAACACCCCATGAAACAACACCAATTAAAACATCATGACCACCATGTTTTTGAAATAAGGGTCCACCCGAATCACCCTAAAATACACAAAAAATAATACGTTTTCAAGGATTGAACTACATGTTAATCAGTGTTTTTCTTCCAATTACAAATACAAAATGGTGAATTTGAGAATAAAATAATATATTTATAATAAAATTTTTAAATTGAGGCAGGGTGGCTCGTGTTGTGGAGCCTTTGCCTTCAAATGAGATGACCCAAGTTCGGATAGAAGCGATGGCTAGTTGATTCGATTTATTATTTTCTTTGTAACATCTTCCTTGAAGTTTTTCTTCTACATCTCCTTCCTTCCTTTCTTATTCTATTTTCTTCTATTATTCTGCGTAATTGATTCTAATTATCTGTAATTAGCAGGATTTTTATCAATGTTTTTTTCCAGTAACAAATTCAAAATTTTGCATTTGGGAATGAAATAATATGTTTCAAATAATGTTTTTAAATTGAGACTCCCTTGACTCTGAATGACTCCCTTGCCAAGTTCGGATAGAAGCAATTGCTGGTTGATTCGACTTCTTTTTTTCTTCGTTATATCATGGTTTAAATTGTTCTCTACATCTCCTTCCTTCTTTTCTTATTCTGTTTCCTTTTGTTATCCTGTGTTTCAATACTATGGAAGGCTCTTGAATATAGAGCCGAAACTGTTTATTTTGCATAGTTTGTGATTTATTCACGATGTTATTCACGTTAGCTTAATTCACATTTGGGAAAAAGTACCCTTTCTTGATAGATAAAACTATTATACTGTTTTTCGAATATTTAATTTATTAGAGCTTGTTGCTTAATTTTAAGAAATGTAATATCAGTGACGAATTTTTTTATACAAAGAATTTTTTTATGGTCTGATATTGTATTATTTAAAATTCATTATTTCATTAGTATTAGTTCACCAAGCTAAAACTATAAATTTCAAGCTATTTTAAGTGTTAAATCCATAACGGATGTCATGCAAAACAATACTAAGTTTAGATCTGCGGTTTTTTGCCTTAACTATTTTGAAAGTTAAATTCAAGGTACATTGTGAAATAAAGAGAAGTCGCTGAAATAAAAATAAAAAAAGACAGAAAATTAACAAATTAGTTTTAAAATCCTTTTATGATTTGAAATATATTTTAGAGCATAATGTAAACAGAATCAAGTATATTTTGCAACCGAATTATCTTTTCTGAAAGAAGACAAATAACTCTAAAAAGACAGAAAGTGCAAAATGTTTCATTTTCAAATTTTTGCCAAAGTCTAATATCTTGATAAAATGATAATTTATAATGATACATATACATATATATATATATTAAGATAAATGATAAATTTAAATTATTATTGGATTTGCATATTCACAGCCTAATCTGAGTAAAAAAAATAGTTTATAAAGAAATGAATATTTTTCAATGCGTATTCTGTAGTTTTTAAGCGGCCATAGTACCTAAGTAACTTATGTAAGAGTCGAAATATTGAATTACGATTCGAAAGTAATTTTGTAGCTTACATTAAATCTTCACACGATTTCAAACATACTGCAAAGTATGTCATCACTCTATATGTATATTTAACAAGCTGCGAGTGATTTGAAGTAAAAAATAAAAGAAAATGAAGATTTTCATTTAGAAAAAAACTAGAGTGTTTTTTCTCATTATTGATTTATTTCTTGCCTTTAAGGGTTTGAATCACAGCGTTGATTTAAAGCGTTTTTTTTATTAAAGGTAGAACTTCGAAGTATTTTCTAAAATCAGCATTATATACTTAATAATTTTTTAATATTAAATAAATGTTTCATAAATCTGTACATCATTTATATTTAAGAGAGATTTTTTTTAATTTTTGAAGTTTCTAAGCGTATAGATAGTTTTAGGGATACCACTTGCGCCTAAATATGTAAGAAGTGATGGAAATTTAATATCTTTTCATTTATTATTTTTATTAAACACTATTTAAATTATTCAATCTTAACTACCACATAGCAAATGTGTATTTGAAGTCAAAATATTTCACTTTCAATTGCAAACTGAAAGAAATAGGCTAGCAAAAGTTGTTAACTTTAATCTCTTCTAATAGATTTTTTCTAATTAGTCAACTCTTTTTGCATTTTTCGAATCACACAAGACCCATGTGATTGATATTATTTTTAATTAAAATTGTTGGCTATCCATTACGTGGGCATGTTAAGCATCCAAAACATTATTTTATTTTATTTTATTTTATTTTATTTTATTTTATTTCATTTCATTTCATTTCATTTCATTTCATTTTATTTTATTTTATTTTATTTTATTTTATTTTATTATAATTTAATTTAATTTAATTTAATTTAATTTAATTTAATTTAATTTAATTTAATTTAATTTAATTTAATTTAATTTAATTTAATTTAATTTAATTTATTATTTATTTTGCTTTATTTATCATTTATTATATTTATTTCATTTATTATTTATATTATTTTACTTTATTTATCACTTATTTCATTTATTATTTATATTATTTTATTTTATTTATCACTTATTTCATTTATTATTTATATTATTTCATCTTATTTATCACTTATTTCATTTATTATTTTCTAAATTTTATAAAAAAAGGTTACCAAGATCATTTATGTAAGTTGGAGTAATATTTCTGTATAACCTCGAGTTTGTATGATTTTAAAAACAATATTATTGTATTGAACTCGTATCCGGTACTGCACTGGACAACAGCCTCGAGTTATACTCGTTTTATCTGTAATCAAATACAATCAGTTCATACAAATCTAAATGAAAGTAGAGAATAAAGAGCTAGTAATGAAAGCATTAAAACCCAGAGAAAATAAGAATTTACCTGACAAACACTTTTTCCACCTTGTTTGTAACCGGCGCAAATCATAGTTTCAGCTAAGTTATCTCCATAAGCCTGGCGGCATTCATGGTCATTTACAATAGGTAATTCAACTGCTTGTAGTCTGCTTGGTGTTACTCGAACACCTAAGAAATAAACATACTGTTTTATACAAATCTTATCAGATAATACTATAATTTTACACATAAAAATATAACTTTTTCTGATACCTTTAAATAATAATGCATGAAAACACAAAAATTTATTTGCATTAAAAAATCGCTTTATAAGTTATAATTTTCTTGATGTAAAATATTGTTTGATTTAAGAACGAAATAATTATGATTCAGTTTTTAAGGCCTTTAGCCTTAATGTTGGTTAAACTCAAATCCTGGTAACGTTATTTTAGGTAAAAGTATCTTTTTTATAATGTTCACAATTTATTGTAAAAAAATTTCTGATCAAATTATGGTAAAAAGTACCGCCACTCTAAGTGCCGGTACTTTTACGGTAAATTCATTTTTACCGATTTCAGATATAGTACGGAAGAAAAAAATTAATATGCCATAATTTTTATTGTAATAATTACCGTAAGATCACTGAACCAGTCCAGTAAAATTAATATTACTATAAAATTTAGGGAAAAATGGATTTTACGTTAAAAAGGGATTATACAGAACATGCACCCAAAGTTCCGGTACTATATACCGTAATTTGATCCGGAATTTTTTACAGTGATTTGACTTCTTATATCTTAATACCCTTGTCTAACATTTAACATCTACTAGCAATAATTTAATATTATTATAAAATTACATTAAGGTGATTCAATATCCTGAAAAATAGTCTATTTAAAATAAAAAGATATTATCACTTAAGAATAATCATTATTAAAAAAAATTGAGGGAAAATGTAAATTATATTTCAACATATAGGGATAATATAAGTTATAATTTTTAAAAAGATTAACACTCCTTTTTCAAATTAAGATTATAAGAAATAAATAAATTAAATTTTGCATTCTTTTTTGGATTAAAGAAACGGAATTTTTCTCGAGGAATGAAGAAACGGATTGATTTTTGGATTGAAGAAACGGAATTTTTCTCGAGTTTTCGCTGCTATAAGCATCATCGATGCCTTTTAGAACTTCTGACGATTACTATTTATAGCATCGAAACAAATCTCTTATATATATANAAAAATCTGTGGCCCTTTTTCGCCTCGCCACTGGCCATGACTGTTTATCAAAACACCTGTATAAAATTAAAATCTTTTCAAGCCCCCTTTGTCCATTATGTAACCAACAAGAAGAAATGGACGCTAACCATCTAAGACATTGCCCTGCACTTCCTCCTGGGCCCTTGTGGAAACGATATTGGTGGCGGGCGAGATGCATTATTACAGACCTGTAGACTCTTTATTTTTGTAGCTCTTGTTTCCGTTTTTTGTTCTTTCTTTATATTGTTCTTGGCTACAAATTTGTCTTTCATGTCTGCCATTGGAAATAAAAAAAAATATTTCATATCCAGGCAGTAAAAAAATTATAATATGGCTAAGGAACTAAGGAAGTAATTATTTTCTTACATTACAATTTTTTTAAATATTTTATGTGATATTTTGTAATGATATTAATTTACCTTCTTGAGTCAATCCCCAACCAGAAGCATAAGCAATCCCTGAAGCTCGATGACCAGAAGATGGTAAAGATATAGCTTGAACTTTGTTACTAAATTCAAACGGAGGGTCAACTCGGATTAGTGCTATATCATTTCGGAAACGAAACATATCAAAAGAATCATGAATCTGAACATCAACAACCTGAAATTAAATGAAATTAATAAAAATATATACTTTCATAGTTTAGAACACGAATTTTACTTAAATAAAATACGTATTACGTTTTGAGATAATATTTTGAACACATCATTACGCGGAGACAGGAGAAGGAAATTTTTGTTACACTGTAAAAAATCCCGATAAAAGTACTGACATCCGGAGAACAAGTACTCTTCACCGTGGAATCCGTTTTTACCGTGAAATTTTTGATAGTAAAAAATTTATGTACCTTGAATTTTACAATAAAATCATTGTAACTTAATAAATATTACTGTAAAAATTAAAATTTGAATTTTTACGTTAAAATTGGAAATTTATGGATGGAAATTCAGGAGGCCAGGATCTTTTACCGCTATTTGATCCAGAACTTTTACAGTGTGCAGGTTATTAGATAAAATGGAAAAATCTACATAATAAAATTTATTAAACTGCATTAAAATTCTATTCTAAAAGTTTTTGAGATTACTATGATGAGCTTACCTATTTCCACCTCAGATGTAATAGCGCCCTTTTAAAAATCTTGATAAATTGGAACAGTACAAAATAAAGCAATTTCAAATTTCATAAACGAAATTTCACAGGTTTTTTAAGATTTGATGAAATTTTAAAAATTCTCTATTGATATTCGAGAGAACATTTTAAAATAAAAAAACCCAAGTTAACCTATAAAAGTGAATAAAGTGAAGTGAAGTGTAAAAAGTGAATCCGAAATGCAAACATTTACTTTGTTATTGATAAAACCGTTTCCTGGGAAATGCTCCAAGCAAACATTTCGTTAAATGAAAAGAATTGCTACCTCCACTTGACTGAGAATACAAATTTTATCAAAAGCATTTGGCCTAATGCAACATATTACTTAACACAATTGATTAGGAAATACAACATAAAACAAAACGAGTTTGAGCACTCAATCCTTAGAATTAAACACGGGAAACTTGCTTGACTAGCAAATGAACTGACAACACCGTTGCGTCTATAAATTATAAACGGTCCTACAATTCCCAAAAAAGGAAATGTTAGCATGTAAGCTATACGATCGTGGCGTCATAATAATTAAAAAGAAAGCTGCAATGGCCTTCTCTTGATGCTCATCTACAGTACTTTTGCCGCAAAATTAACTATAAAAGTTGAATGTTACCGTAGACATTAAATATAAATATAATATAATATAACATATAATATAACATATAATATAACATATAATATAACATATAATATAACATATAATATAACATATAATATAACATATAATATAACATATAATATAACATATAATATAACATATAATATAACATATAATATAACATATAATATAACATATAATATAACATATAATATAACATATAATATAACATATAATATAACATATAATATAACATATAATATAACATATAATATAACATATAATATAACATATAATATAACATATAATATAACATATAATATAACATATAATATAACATATAATATAACATATAATATAACATATAATATAACATATAATATAACATATAATATAACATATAATATAACATATAATATAACATATAATATAACATATAATATAACATATAATATAACATATAATATAACATATAATATAACATATAATATAACATATAATATAACATATAATATAACATATAATATAACATATAATATAACATATAATATAACATATAATATAACATATAATATAACATATAATATAACATATAATATAACATATAATATAACATATAATATAACATATAATATAACATATAATATAACATATAATATAACATATAATATAACATATAATATAACATATAATATAACATATAATATAACATATAATATAACATATAATATAACATATAATATAACATATAATATAACATATAATATAACATATAATATAACATATAATATAACATATAATATAACATATAATATAACATATAATATAACATATAATATAACATATAATATAACATATAATATAACATATAATATAACATATAATATAACATATAATATAACATATAATATAACATATAATATAACATATAATATAACATATAATATAACATATAATATAACATATAATATAACATATAATATAACATATAATATAACATATAATATAACATATAATATAACATATAATATAACATATAATATAACATATAATATAACATATAATATAACATATAATATAACATATAATATAACATATAATATAACATATAATATAACATATAATATAACATATAATATAACATATAATATAACATATAATATAACATATAATATAACATATAATATAACATATAATATAACATATAATATAACATATAATATAACATATAATATAACATATAATATAACATATAATATAACATATAATATAACATATAATATAACATATAATATAACATATAATATAACATATAATATAACATATAATATAACATATAATATAACATATAATATAACATATAATATAACATATAATATAACATATAATATAACATATAATATAACATATAATATAACATATAATATAACATATAATATAACATATAATATAACATATAATATAACATATAATATAACATATAATATAACATATAATATAACATATAATATAACATATAATATAACATATAATATAACATATAATATAACATATAATATAACATATAATATAACATATAATATAACATATAATATAACATATAATATAACATATAATATAACATATAATATAACATATAATATAACATATAATATAACATATAATATAACATATAATATAACATATAATATAACATATAATATAACATATAATATAACATATAATATAACATATAATATAACATATAATATAACATATAATATAACATATAATATAACATATAATATAACATATAATATAACATATAATATAACATATAATATAACATATAATATAACATATAATATAACATATAATATAACATATAATATAACATATAATATAACATATAATATAACATATAATATAACATATAATATAACATATAATATAACATATAATATAACATATAATATAACATATAATATAACATATAATATAACATATAATATAACATATAATATAACATATAATATAACATATAATATAACATATAATATAACATATAATATAACATATAATATAACATATAATATAACATATAATATAACATATAATATAACATATAATATAACATATAATATAACATATAATATAACATATAATATAACATATAATATAACATATAATATAACATATAATATAACATATAATATAACATATAATATAACATATAATATAACATATAATATAACATATAAAATNTATGTGTATGTTTTATAAATGATAATGCTTTCTCAATTCATTTCTTAAAGATTTAAATTATTTGAATTTTAATTAATTATTAAATACAAATTATAATACTGAAAAAGAGGAAAATATTCTCACCTTATGGATTTGATAATCACCTCCATGGAGTGACTTTATTCTATTTTCATCTTTTAAATTAGTTGTGGCCGCAACAACTCTGTAATTCGATAGCAAAGCCCTAAAGGATAAAAAAAATATGTGTTGCTTTATTAATAAGACAATATAAATTTAATAAACAACACATTTCTATTTTTTTAAATCATTAATGCCCAGAATAAAATTTCAGAAACATATCATATTGATTGATGTGACTTTCGGCTTTCATAACTATAAACCATATCTTTTTTTTATTGTTTGATGTCAACCATATTATTTCATTGGAGAGCAATAGATGATGAAATACCTTTATAGTATTTGCAAGACCGCTGAATGCACGCAAATTTACTAAAGCATTGAAACTATCTGAAATAGCACGCACTGTTCTTGAAATGCAATTACAGCTAATAAAATGAAAAATTATGAGTAATATAGGTGAAAAACGAAAACATAGGGGTTCAAATTTCAATAAAAAAAAAACATATTTATAAATAAAAAATAATTTGCATCTCCTACTGAAAAATACGCCTAACGCAAAAAAAAAAATTCAAACTATTAAGTTTAATTATTTTTTGTGTTAATATTCTTTATCTTTTTACTCTTTTTATTATAATTAATTTCATTTCTTAATATTTTTTGATATTTAATGATTATTTTAAGAAATTATTTAAATTTATTTATTTTTTAACTTTAACTTTCTTAGTTAATTATTTTTAATTGCAATAATATTTGTATTTTGATTTTTCATTTATTTTAATGTTTACTTGCATTTAATTATTCTTCATTTTCTTTTTAAAGATAAATTTTAATAAAAAACAAAATTTTCTTTGCGTTTAGGCAGATTATTACTACTTGTGCAGTTTAAGAAATTTTCTACAAACTAGTCAACAAGCGAAAGGGGTTGCTCAAAGAAACTTCTTCATTTTCTTAAAGTTAAGAATTTTAAGAAAGAAAAAAAATGGAAACTTTCTAAGTACTTCTTTGTAAAAATCTCATATTTTCAAAGAAGAAAGCAAGAGCTTTACAAATCTCATCCCATATCACTACCAAAGATCATAAATTAACTGCTACCAGCATGCCTCGATGATAAAAGATATGGTCTCGATTAAATATTGGATAATTGAATTTATAACTTTTGAATCGATGATAGTGAGGTTTGTAAGTTAGTCACGGAAATCAAAATTCACAAAATTAGCCGAAATTCTCCAAACATTTTGAATATTTCTACAAAAATGAACAGAATTTTCCTTCAGAATATTGTACATTGTTAGATTTATTCTGGCTAATGTTTTGTTATCAACTAAGTATTTGATTTCCAACATTTCCGCCAGATTTACAACAGAAAGGACTTTTAAATTTCTTAGACCATTGTGTCGATGAATTTTCTCTTTCCTTTTATTTCAATAAAATTTCTGTTTTTGAAAGGATGCTACAAAATTTTTCCTTTCTGCAAGTTCTTATTCCAAGTTAGCGAGACTCGGTATTCTGAGTAATTTAGCATTTGATGTAGAAAAACCACCTAACTTGACAGAATTTGAGCTATCTCTATTTTCACCTCATTTTGCTTCTGATTTATTCTCCTAAATGTTTATTATTTTACATAACACTGAGGAAAAATATTTTTCTGTTGAGTGAGATTTTTTAACATATCTTTTTTCACAATGCCCACCTGGAGAATGACCATTCGTCATACAGGCATCTGAAGGGCAGATTTTTTTGGCCACTTTTTCAGGGGCACCAAATTAGATGGGCCAACGTTGCTCCCACAGTAAGGACAGATAGTACAGAGAGTGAAAGAGCTTCCATGCCTTGACCGGGATTCGAACCCAGAACCTTATTGATGCAAGACCAGCCCTAACAGATCTTACATAAACACTTTTGTATTACTGATTTCAAATCTGCAATCGGTTTCTCTCCACAAGGTACAATTTTTTAAAATGATACTTTTATTCTATTTTTGTGGAAATGTAAAAGTTTAAAAACGTTATATATAACAGGAGATCCGTAAATGTCCGAATAACTTCGAGGGGGTTGGGCACATCAAAATTGCATAGGAACCCATGCCCGGTAATGTCGTCAGGTGCCACTAGAGGTACTTCCCTATTATGAGCTGTTTCTTCGTGTGCTTCTGAACAGTTGCCAATAGAGAAGCACCCCAAGTGGTGTATGATGACATTTCTGGTCAAGTGTACCTATACATTTTTAATCCTAATGAAGAATCCTAACTCGCCAAATAGGTTTTCGCTTCATTTTTTCAACCCTCTGATATATATTAGTCTTTAGACTTGCACATTGCAACAGAAAAAAGTCTAAGAATGTCAATAAAAATCTGCAGTCTTAGGAGTAAAACTAATTTCAAATTTGAAACATCCGCACCCGAATTAGGCAGGATAAAATATTTGTATAAATGTCACAGAAACTTTGTTCAAGAATATTCCGAAAATTTGTTTGTTCTAATTGCTTCAAGAAAGTAATTTCTGTTAAAAAGTAAGTAAATATAAAAACAAAAATATCTTATATTTTTAACATTTTTCATACAAATTGCAATATCTTCAAAATTTCATGAATATGAGAAAAAAAATTATTAATAATTCGCAGAAATTTGGGTCGCGAGAAACATGCAACCCTAATGATGATAAAAAGCTCTTTCATCAAAGAATAAAAAGGACCTAATTTCAGGGACATGAAATGAAAGCAAAAATTTAATTATGATTGATACTTTTTCATAAGAAAGAAATAATTTGATTTTAAAACTAGTAAATATTTTAAGTTCTTCAAAAATTGTTTAATTCTATTAAAAATTGCTAGTTTGGCTAAATCTTTCCAATGAACTTTAATTTTTAACTATATCTAGCTAGACGCAAACTGAATTGTAAAACGAATAATTATTTTAATTGTTTCCAAAATTGTTTAGCTTTTCTAACGATTGATTGGATTTTTCCACCTACATAAAGATTCTAAACAATGCCGAATCCCAATCAATTCAGCTTGGTAATAACTTTTTAAATATTAAAAAAAAGATCACAACCGCTTTTCATTATTTAGAAATACAACTTTTCTTCATCTTCACATTTTTTTTAACTTTCATAATTAGCATATAAAATGTTAGCTAGAGATTTGAAAAATTTAAAAGTCATTAATTGTTATAAAACTATCTTATTGTTTTTTAAAATGTGTTATTTCTAATTCAAAGAAAAGCTTTAATACATAACAATCAACATCATATACTGATATCAAAACGTATTACTGTAATCATATAAATCTATATCAATTATTTTAATATATTAGGGTGACTGGAAAATAATGTCATTTCGGCGCATAAAATATTCGCTAGTCTTAAAAGCCAACTCCTTTTTTTCAATCCATTTCGATTTATTTTCGATCCGGCATTGAAAGGTTGTTGAGAGTGAATACATTACTGATTTTAAAAAAAATATCGAAAACAAATATCAATTGCACCGAAACGGCATTACTTTCCGGTCCCCCTGATAAAAAAGGTCTTCAAATTGACTTCCAAGCACGAGAATTGATTTTCAAGATATTCAATCATTTGAAACTTCTTATTAATATGCAAATAAACAACATATTTCGTAGCAATATTAATGCAGATATCTGATTACTTAACTGTTATATCATCAGAGAAGAAATGAACCGATCAAGTAATTAAAAAAAAAACCGTGAAAATGAGATAACCGTTATATACACGAAAGCTACCAAAGTTAACGCTTGGTTAAACAGCATTACTTAAATTGCGTTTCTTCTTTTCACTTTCAAAGGTGGTTTACTAATTGGTTCAATTATTTTGCTACTTCTACGCATAAAATCTGTGATTGCTGAAAACCATTTTTACAGAAATCATTTTAACGTTTAATTAAATAGAAATTTCAATATATTCGATGTTGATGTTGAATATATATTTTGTACATTTCATTTTAAATAACTACAAGTCGCTAAATCAATTCATTATTATGTATTAAAGCTATGCAGTTTAGACAAAAAACTTTAAGTTGTTTTTAGAAATATGTTAGCATTAGAAAGCATGGAAATGAAAAAGAAATCTCTAAAAAAAAGAAACAACAACATAGATTTCTAATTTTTTTGTCCGTTGTTTATTGTTTTGGTTATTACTTCTCAATTTAAAATCTCTTCTTATCTGGTAATTAATTACTAAGTATGATTCATTTATTTGAATTCTTTATACAGTTTTTTTTGTTCACATAATAAAAAATTCTATAAATTATTACTAACTAAAGTATAAAATGTATGTTAATGCTTTATAATTTGTGAATTTTCTTAAATAGGGAATTAAAGCACATGAAAAATTTCAGAGCATTGGTTAATTTATGGAACCATTTTTAATCGAAAAAAAAAATACGAAATGTGTTATTTTCTATTTTAAGAGTTCACCTTGAATGTTTATCTTAAGTAAGCAGACAACAATGAATGGTCATTCACTAATAATATATTATTTGAACAAACATGGCTAAGGTTTCAAACTGGTGTTGTTGAATGGAACCTCCGAATGTTATTACTTGGATAATACTCAATTTCAGTTCTTTTCTTTCAAACTTAATGTTTGTTTGAATTCAAGTATGCATACAATTTCAGGCAACTTTTCATTTAGTTGCATATGCTAAAATAAATCTAGCTAATCATAAACATAATGCCACAGACTATTTTGCTGGAATATTTCACAAAAAATTCAACTTTGCTAAGTACATAAAACATTTTTATTGTTGGGAGTAGCATAGTCGGCGGATCAATATATCTATACTAAGACAGGTTAAAGGCCTGAAAAACAAAATATTTTGCAAGGAAGTAGATGACCTGGTAAGGTGATCACCCACACAAGTTTGCTTCATGAACAATATTTTTGATAGTAAGAAGAAAATAAGGAGAAATGATTATCGTTTCACATTTTTTTGCATAGATAGATACCAAATATATACACTGGTTATCATAAATTAAGGAAAAATCACAAAAATAGCGATAACTCTTTCAAAAGTAAGCCAAACCGTGCAAAATTTGCATATGTTGTCCACTAAGAGTAGCTGAGTAAAATTGCAATATGCAAATTAGTGG